CATATATTGGGGTGGGGGGCGGGGCAGTCAGAGGAGCCAGGGAGCCACTGTCCACCAGGGGCTGCAGAACCGTGGGGGCACGCCTGCAGGTGGGACCTGCCTTCAGATCTCTGATGAGCAGATTGGGGGCCCCTTTCGTTGCTTTTAGGGAGATTTTGTGTTCCTGGAGATGGAGGGCAGTAAAGGAGACCCAAGGTCTGTTCAGGCTGCTGCCGGCTTTGCCCCACCCCCAGAGAGGAGTCAGAGCTTGGGTGGATCTCTCAGAGCGGCCCTGAGTAGGAGGGGCCTGTGATGGTGGAGGTTGGGGTGCCTTGGGCTAAGCAGCTTCTCATATCCTATTCTCCTGGACAGAGGTGCCAGCCGTTGAGGGCCTGAGGATGCACCTCCTGGAGGAGACGATGGTTCGGACAGAGTGGACCCGGGCTCCTGGCAATGTGGATGCCTATGAAATTCAGTTCATCCCCACGGTGAGAGCCAAGCTCCAAGAGGGGGCTGAGTGGGCAGGACTGAGGGGAGGGGGCTCCCTCCTGCTCACCTCAAGCAGGAATCCCAGGTAACCAGTGCTTGCATCCAGCTGGCTGATTCCCGAAGCTGTTCTAAAGGCCCGCTCATCCTGCCCCACACCCGGTGCAGAAGCCTTTGCAGCATTGGCCCACTGCTGCTGGAACATCTCTGGTGACCTTGAGCTCAGACTTCCTGAGGCTGCCGACTCCAGTTTTGTTCATCACTGTAGTCAGTTCTTTTTGTTATTGCTGGATGCAAATCTGCCCCATTCTAACATCCATCCATTGGCCCTAGCTGGGCCTTCGCCAGCCGTCAGAACGTGATTTTTGCTTTCCCTGTGTCTTACACCATAGGCTTTCAAGTATTTGGAGGCATCAACCATCACGTCACCCTTCATTCCCTCCAGGCCAAATCCACTGGTTTCTTCTCCCCTTTTCTTAATGCTTTGTTCTCTGAATCCTTCACTTTTTGGTTTTCCTCCTCTAATACCTCCTGCTTTTTGCATGTGCCCCACCCCATCAAAATGTGGGAGCAAAGAGGACCCCAGTGGTTCCCCCAGCTCACTCTGGCTACCCTGGCACTTTTCTCAGAGTTGACATATATGAACTTGTGGTCAGTTCATAACTGAGAAACTGTCAGTTATTTTGATCACATTTGATTTTTTTAAGTAACTTTTAACAATAAAAGTCATATAGGCTCAGTGTAGAAACTTTAAAAAATATAAACAAGGAAAAAAGAAAGAAGGAAGGAAGAAAAGAAAGGAAAAAAGAAGACATTCAACTACATACTCTTTTTTTTTTTTTTTTTTTTTTTTTTTGCGGTACGCGGGCCTCTCACTGTTGTTGCGTCTCCCATTGCGGACGGAGCACAGGCTCCGGACGCGCAGGCTCAGCGGCCATGGCTCACGGGCCCAGCCGCTCCGTGGCATGTGGGATCTTCCCGGACCGGGGCACGAACCCGTGTCCCCTGCATCGGCAGGCAGACTCTCAACCACTGCGCCACCAGGGAAGCCCCATACTCTTTTTTTAAGCCTAAATTTAAGCCTTTGCATTTGGCTCTCTTCAGTGTTTCATTTTTGCTTTGGGCCAACCTGTCTAGGCTGTTGCAATTATTTGAGTCCGTGAGCTGGTTCCCCTACCTCCGTGTCATCGGTGCATTGCAAAACCTCCTTTCTCTGTCTCCTTCCAACTCACTCTTAAAATATTTGGGGACACCCTAAGGACAAAGACTGTGGCCTCTCATTAGCGATTTCCCTTATGCAGATTGGGCCTTTATGATGTGTTTGGTCTCCTAGTTTCAAATCATCTGACATTTCTACTGTCCAAATGTCTTCCTGCATCATCCCACAAATGCCATTGGTGGGTAGGCCATGTCGTTCTCATCTCTACCCAGTCAGGACTCTGGAAAAATAAATAAGTCCCAGGGCCTAAACCTAGGAAGCCTCTAGGACAGAAGGGACAGCTCGGAGGTGCTGGCTGTCACCCCCACCCCAACTGGCCTAGTCATTCTAAGTCTTCTTATTATCCCCTCAAGCCCAGAGCCCTGCCGTGTTCTGTCTCTCCTTACCCCCTGGTAGGAGCAGAGGCAGAAATCCCTACTTTGCTGCACAACCAAGAGAGCTTGGATTTTTCTTCTGTTTAAAAAAAAAAAATATTTTCAGTTATAAAAATAATGTAATCACAAGACAAGAATTTGGCAGCTAGAGAAAAAAAACAATCGTTGGCTGTTTCACACTAAAACAAGCACTGTTCACATTGTAAAGTGTTTCTCCCACTCTCTTCTGTGTGTATATTATTTGCATAGTTTTAATCTTGAGAGGGTAGGACTTTTAAACAGAACTTTTCTAAGGAGCTTCAGGGAAAGAAGAAGTAAAATAAACACTTGAGATAGAAGGAGCTTACAGGGTAGCATCATCTCCCGCTCTTAGTAAATATGAACTTATCCTTGGTGTTCTCAAGGGGTGCAGCCTCCCCGCTGCAGCCCTAGGCTTTCTCCCTCTCCGTGGGGCCAGGCTGGTGTTGAGCTGGCCTGGGTCCAGCTTGGCCATGCTCTTAGCTCATCTGCTTTGCTCTGGGTATGGGTCTCTGTCACATTCTGGGTTCTCTCTGAGCCTGGGTGTGGAAAATGCTCCCGTAAGATTGGTCCCCAGACTTCTCCCTTGGACTCCACATCAGCCTGTGCTACTGGCCCTCTGACTATGCTTTCTATGCTTTTTGTGGCTGGCCCCTAGGATTGTGCCTCTTGCCTTGGCCAGCACTCCCTATCCATTTCTGTTGGCACAGAGTACATTCAGTAGCTGGCTGTCCTCTGGCCACTGCCATCTTCCTAGAAGCCTCTCTCTACCTTATCCCCTCCCCTTTTCTAGAACCACTTCTCTCTCAAAGCCCAAACTCTACTATCCCTGGCTAAGGGACACGCCTAGTTATTGGAATGATTTTCAGAACACAGAAGAGGAACATTCCTCCTTTCCCTGCATATGTGGCATTGTTCCTCTGACTCAGTGGTTCTCAAAGTGTGTTCCCTGGACCTACAGCATTAGCATCACCTGGAGCACTAGACATGCTAATTGTCAGACTCCACCCCCAGATCTACTGAGTCAGAAGCTCTAGGGGGCAGAACCCAGTAACCTGTGTTGTAACAAGCCCTCCAGGTGATTCTGGTGCACCCCAAGCCCAAGGACCACTAACTTAAGAAATGTTGCTATTTTGCAAAAGGCAAGGTCTTCTATGAATGTGAGAGAAAGCATGAAGAAACTGAGGGAGGTGAACCCCCAAACAGAAAGACGTTCAAGTATTCCCTGTCTGGGTGTATTCTGCAGCCTGGAAACTGGGGCTAAGCCACGTTTTCATTGGGACACAGGTCCTTGCAGCCTGAGAAAAGTTTGTTTGGTCTGGTCTGAAAAGCAGGGTGAGGATGAGGTAAGCTCCAGGGACCAGCAAAAGTGGAGTCGCCCACCTGGGGCCATGAGGTTGATATCGAGAAGAGAGTTAGAATCTTGCCAAGGACATCAGTGAAGCAGCCAAAACTCTCACCAAGGGGCAGAACCAGCTGCTAGCATCTGGCTAGAGAGCCTGCATCAGACCAGACAGATGGTGCTGAGAGATGTGGCTTAGACTGACAGTGGGACTTTTCAGGGGACTGTTCCCAAATGGGTCTCAGGAGGGACTACAGAGCGTTTAAAATGTTCATGTAGGTGGTCTGAAGGGAGAAGGAGAACTCTGGGGCTGGGCTTCTCTTGCAGAAAGGACCAGACAGCATCAGGGAGTAAAAGTGTGCACGTGCATGTGTGTGTGTGTATTCGTGTGTGTGTGTTCGTGTGTGTGTGTGTTCGTGTGTGTGTATTCGTGTGTGTGTTCGTGTGTGTGTGTATTCGTGTGTGTGTATTTGTGTGTATTCGTGTGTGTGTGTGTTCGTGTGTGTTCGTGTGTGTGCATTTGTGTGTGTATTCGTGTGTGTGTATGTGTGTGTGTTCGTGTGTGTGTGTTCGTGTGTGTGTTCGTATTCGTGTGTGTGTATTCGTGTGTGTATTCGTGTGTGTGTATTTGTGTGTGTATTCGTGTGTGTATTTGTGTGTGTGTATTCGTGTGTGTGTGTTCGTATTCGTGTGTGTGTATTCGTGTGTGTGTTCGTGTGTGTATGTGTATTCGTGTGTGTGTATTCGTGTGTGTGTGTGTGTGTGTGTGTGTGTGTGTGTGTGTGTGTGTGTGGTGGGGGAATAAGGAGACAGAGAATAAGTTCTGGGAAGGAGGAGAAGCACACGGGTCTTGAGTTGAGACCAGTCCAAGGCCTCCCAGGATGGGGTATCCTAGGGCAGAGTGAGTAGGGGAGGGATGGGGATCCTGTGTGCCCAGGAAAGCTTTTCAGCCAAGAAAACTCTGACAAAGCTTTACTTCATCCTCAACCCAGAAGTCTCTACGTGGACTCTCATCTGGTTTTATACTTTGGTATTTACTATGCTGATTTCCCCACAATTCTCTTGGTTTAGGAGAGTACCTTTTGAAATTTCCAATCCTACTTGGCTGAACGGAGGTGTCCCCATAACGGCCAACATAGCTAAACAGAACAGAACGTCTTTATTAGCTGTCCTAGATAGACAGCCCAGCGAAATGCTGGGCTGTTAGACTACTCACAAATGTCCATTCCTCCTGTTTTCCCAGTGGCTTGCACTCCAGGAGACCCTGCCTAGAGCAGGGGCTGGCAGATTTTCTATGGGGTCACCACACATAATCCTAATACTTTACATGAATACTTGAAGGAAGGTTGTTTTCTTAAAGGCATGTGCTACACACAGAGATTTGTGCTACACACAGAGATCTAATAAAACTTAAGACGTGGCCACACATTTAGCTACTAGGGCATGAGCTATCTGAGGACAGGGATCATATCCTTTATCTTTATGTCTCCAGCCCAAATGATGCCAGGCACAAAATCAGGGAACATATCTGTGGAACTTGGAGCAGGTGGGCCTTGTTTTGGAGGGGCCTACAACCCTGCTGAGGATACAAGAAAAGTACCTGAAAGGAGATGTCGTGACGTGGGTCACAGGGCCAGGTGTCTGTGGGGAGGCTCAGGCTGGGGCAGCTGCTTGAAGGAGGAGGTGAGACTTGAAGTGGCATCCCTCATCGACTTCATCTGTTATGACAGGAACGCGCTTAGGAGAAGCCTCCTCGAGCCCAGGGAGTCAGGGTTGCCGGGGGGAAAGCTAGAAGAGGAGTCCTGGCATGTGTCAGAATTCTGGCAGACAGCCGATGAACAGGCTAAAAAGGTAGTGCCCATGAGAGGGGACTCTGAGGTCACACTGCCTGGGTTTAAATCCCTGCCACTTTCTTGGTGTTGGCGACCTTGGGCAAGCCACTTAATCCTTTTGTACCTCAGTTTCCTCATCTGCCCGTTGGGAGTAATACGACCTACCTCATCAGATTCTTAAGCAGATTAAGTGAGTTCATATCTATAAATCACCTTGAACAGTACGTGGCATGGAGTAGGTGTTCTAGCTGTGTTTGCTGATACCACCCACGCGCCCCAGCTGTATTGGGCCAAGTTCTACACAGTCCCATGTTGACCCTGCCTGGAACTGGAGAAAGAAGGGATAAGGGGGCTTGAGTGGCAGGGGTGAGAGTGGCAGCCCTGATCCACCTGGTGCTTTCTCTCTTGCAGACAGAGGGGCCGAGCCCCCCATTCACAGCACGGGTGCCCAGCTCTGCCTCAGCCTATGACCAGAGAGGACTGGCCCCCGGTCAGGAGTACCAGGTCACTGTCCGTGCCCTTCGAGGGACTAGCTGGGGCCCTCCTGCCTCCAAGACCATCACCACCAGTGAGAGCTGGGGCTGTGGGGTGGGGTCCTGGGTGGAGATCTGGACTTGAGAGGGGTGGCTGGGAATATGCCCTCCAAGAGGGCAGAGGGGAGGGATTGGCTGGGGGCAAGGCTCATAGAAGGAAAGCTGGTGACCACAGATCCAGACTCCCACCTGATCCTTCCTCCCTCTGACCTGGCTAGTGATCGATGGCCCCCAGGACCTCCGAGTGGTGGCTGTGACGCCAACCACGCTGGAGCTCAACTGGCTGCGCCCCCAGGCCGAGGTGGACCAGTTCGTGGTGTCCTACGTCAGTGCCGGCAACCAGAGGGTGCGGCTAGAAGTGCCCTCTGAGGCAGACGGGACGCTGCTGACCGGCCTCATGCCAGGCGTAGAATACGTGGTGACCGTCACTGCCGAGCGGGGCCGGGCAGTAAGCTACCCGGCTTCTGTCAGGGCCAACACAGGTATGGCTGGCCGAGGGTTAGGGAAGTTTCTGAGCATAGGAGCCACTTCCTAGGGAGTCCACATGTCTGGCTCACGGGCTGCTCTGAACGCACTTGACAGGGTGTGTGGCAGTCCCAAAGCACCTGCTGGGGGGCCTTGCTGTGCATCAAGGGCTCTGCGGAGATGGAGTTCTCAGGCGCTTGGAGTAGTGTAGGAAGGCTGTGGGCTGGAGTTTGGGAGGAGCTGCCTCATGGACAGAAGCAGTAAATAGGAGATGCTGTCCGACCCACCCAGATGGGGGAGGTTCTGATCCAAACTTGGACACAGGGACAGCCCTTGAGCTCAGTCAGTGGTCAGATCTTGGAGAGATTGGAATTGGGCAGATTAGAGATCAGCACTCCTGTTGACTTTAGGATTGGGGATTGGGGGACTTAGGTCTCAGCAGTAATTTTCCACTAACCCTCAAGGTCTCTTAACAGATGCCTGGATCTTTCTTTTCTTTTCCTGTGACAGAGGGACGCCCACCTCGCTGTAGCTCGCAGTCTCTCCTCCCACGCCCCTTTTCTCTCCTTCAGACACAGGGCCCCACCCGCTGGTTTCTTCTCTCTAGGGCACCAACAGTGGCGGGCTTGGAGGGCAAGGGGTGAGAGAATCCTGGGACACTAACTCCTTTCTCTCGATTCTCTTTCCAGGTGGGGCTGGGGCACAGGAGGAGGCCTCTGGCTCCGGTGGGAGGGACGGTGGGAGGAGCTGCCACGGGGAGGAGTGCAGGGATTGGTGGGGGGCTGCCACTGACCGGCTCTCCCCCTCCCCCTTTTTCCGCCCCGGCAGCACCAGGCCACTACAGTCACCCGGAGGCGGAGGCGCACGCCCCAGCCCCGTCCCCCAGGCCCCGGCCCCGGCCGGTCCCGGCCCCGCGGCCCCCGCGCCCACCAGTGCCCCCTCGGCACTCGCGGCCGGCGGAGGAGGGGGAGGCGGAGTCTCGGCCCGGGCCGAGCCTACCCCAGCCCCCTCGGCGGGCGTGGGGCAACCTGACGGCCGAGATGGGCCGCTTCCGCGGCACCGCGCAGGACCTGGAGCGCCACCTGCGGGCTCACGGCTACCCACTGCGGGCCAACCAGACCTACACGTCGGTGGCGCGCCACATCCACGAATACTTGCAGCGGCGTCGCCTGGCGGCGGCCATCCCCACCACCTCCCCCGCACCCCCGGCCCGTCGCCCCCACCCCACCTCCAGCCCCGACTCGGGCACCTGGAAGCGGGACTCCAACCAGGGCACCTACGGCCTCTCGCCCGAAGGCGTCGACCGGGTGGCTGCGCCCCGCCACCCCAAGCCCGAGGTGCTGGGCAGTTCCGCCGACGGCGCACTACTCGTGTCCCTTGACGGGCTCCGCGGCCACTTCGAGCGCGTGGTGCTGCGCTGGCGGCCCCAGCCGCCCGCAGAGGGCCCCGGCGGGGAGCTGACCGTGCCGGGCACCACGCGCACCGTCAGCCTGCCAGATCTCAAGCCCAGCACCACCTACCACGTGGAGGTCCACGGGGTGCGGGCAGGGCAGACCTCCAAGTCCTACGCCTTCATCACAACCACAGGTAGTGTGGGTGAGGCCGCGGGACCACCCATCTCCTGCCCAGTCTCACCTGCCACTGGAGTCGGCATCCATGAGTTCCTCCCGCTGCCTCATTGCTCGGGCTGCCACCCCACCGCACGCTCTGTCTTCAAGCCCTACCTGGTCCAGGCTCCAAGAGAACCCCCCAACAAAGCGCACTTTCTCGTGTCCCTAGACGCCACCTCCACCCTCAGGGTCCTGGTGGATACCCAAGGTCAAGGAGACCTGTTCTTTGGGACTGTCTGATTTTCACTTGGGTTCCTAGGACACTTCTGCCAGGAATCCTGTTCTAGGCAACAGAAGGGGCATTTGGTGGGAGGGGCAGTGTCTGGAGCAGTTTGGGTCGGGTAGGGAGAGAAACCAGTGGTTCCCCACTCTGACTCACTGTGGTGAGAGTGGCTGAAGACTGTGGTCATGGTTACTATTTTCCACAATTTGGCCCCAACCTCAAAGGGACACATCGGAGTTGCTTGGAGGTGGCCTTGAAGCCATCAGGCAGCATGTGTGTGTGAGAGGTGAAACCACTGCTTGTTGAGCTGCCTTTCCAACCTCTTGGCTCACTTCACACTTGTCTCTCCCACAGGAACGACGTCCTGGCTCGGGGAAGGGGTGCTCTGTGGCTGTCGTGGGGAGGGTTCTGGACCTCTTCTTCCCCCACAGGGCCCAGATGCCACCTGAGCTGGATGTCCATCCCCCCATCCCCTCTTCCCTCTCTTCTCACTACCCACTCTCTCTGTACCCTCCTCCCCTAACACCACCGTCTCCTCCTTTCTTCCAGGCTTGTCACTGCAGCACTATTGGAAGTCACGACCACCACCCAGTGGGGAAGGGGTTCCTGTGGGGAGGGCCGTGGTGGTCTGTCGGGGCTGGAGGTCACAGGAGCCTTGTGGGACGAGGGATGGCAGACTTTCTTTCTTTTATTTATTACCTGCGGGCCTGTCTGTGCAGGACTGTGGTGCACCTTTGGGACGGTGAGGTGACCCAGGGGGTGATCCAGGAACAGAAAAGGGAGGGTCTGTAGGCTCTTAGAGGCTAGAGGGCAGAGCCTGGGGGCCAGGGTTTCCTTTCTGACTCTCATACTCCACCCTCCTGTTTTTCTCCCCCTGCTTCTTCCCAGGGTCCTCCCCCTCAGACCTCCTGGGGGCCACTGATGAGCCTCTTCCCTCAGGCCCTTCAACGACTCAAGGGGCTCAGGCCCCTGTCCTGCAGCAGCGACCCCAGGAGCTGGCAGAGTTGAGGGTGCTGGGCAGAGACAAGACAGGGCACCTCTGCGTGGCCTGGACCGCCCAGCCTGACACCTTTGCCCACTTCCAGCTGCGCCTACGGGTGCCCGAAGGGCCTGGGGCACATGAGGAACTACTGCCAGGGGATGTCCGTCAGGCTCTGGTGCCCTCACCCCCTCCTGGATCCCCCTATGAGCTGTCACTTCGTGGGGTGCCCCCCGGGGGCGAGCCCTCTGCCCCTCTCATCTACCAAGGCATTATGGGTACATCCTGGATTCTGCTGAAGACCGATGTCCTGAGGTTGGGGGGAGGGGCTGGGCCATTAGAATTTCAGAGGTGGGGTGGAGATTGAAGGGCAGGACTGGTGTTTGGGTCAGGGTGGTAGGAGAAACAAGGAGAGAAAAGGAGTTGAGGGTTCAGAGGCAAGAGGGATGGAGGGGGTCTTAGTACAGTGGTAGGGTGGGCCGGGGAGGGGAGTACTCCAGGCAAAGTAGATGAGAGGTCAGAAGTCAAAGGATGGGAGGAGGATTCAAGGAGAGAGGCTGTTGGCCCCCTGGCCCTCCGCTTACGGCTTTCTTTGTGCAGAATTGCCCTGCCCCCACTTCCTGGTTACTCCTCTGCCCCAGCCCGCCCACTATGTCTCTCAGGGTGGGTGTGGGGAGGCCTGTGGCCCTGAGGATCCTGACCCTCAGCCCTCTCCTCCCTTTCCCTTCTCCCAAGCCCCTGCCATCCCCTCCCTGGACAGGCTAGGACAGTGGCGCTGCCCCTCACCCTGCGAGCCCAGCCTGCAGTGGACAGCACCCCGTGGTCCCATTAGCCAGCTCTCCCTGCAACTCCAGATCAAGCTCACCACTGGGGAGAGGGCGGTAAGGGAGAGAGGAGTTCAGGTGGACCGAGGCGTCTTCAGCCTGCCCTGAAACAGCAATGGCAAAGGTTCTGAACTCTCAGGGAAAACCACAGGGGACCTGAAGCTCCCCCAGAGACCTTGGTGTGCAGAGGGACTGGGACCTTTGTGAGTGGGGAGGCAGTTATCGCAAGGGCAGAGCCAAAGCTTTCACTCCAGAGCAGAGACTGGGGAGAAATGCCCACCTTCTTAGAAAGGCTGGTCCCAGAGAACAGAGGGCGGGGAATGGAGGCTTCCAGGAAGGGAGCTGTCCAGGATGGAGTGAGCCAGTGGGCAGAGGAGAGGGAAGGAGACTGGGGACAAGGCAGTGCTTGAGCCCACGTGCTTTGCTTTGCCCCACACCCCAGACAGGGATGGGGAGAAGGCTGGGCAGCCCTTGGCCCTGCCACGCCTGGGCAAGCTGACGGTGACGGACATGACTTCCAACTCCCTGCTTCTGCACTGGACGGTCCCTGAGGGCGAGTTTGACTCCTTCGTGATCCAATACAAAGACAGGGACAGGCCCCAGGTGGTGCTTGTAGAGGGACCCCAGCGCTCAGCCCTCATCTCCAACCTGGACGTCGGCCGCAAGTACAAATTCGTCCTGTACGGACTCATGGGCAAGAAGAGGCATGGCCCCCTGGTGGCTGAAGCCAAGATCTGTAAGTGAAAGGGGTCACACACACCCCTGCCTCTGCCCTCTGCACAGTCCTGAAGGGGGTCTGCCCAGTGCTTCGGCAAGTCCAGGAAGGCTCCCTGGAGAAGGTGGTGCCAGAGGTGAATCCTCAAGGGAAAATTGTGGTGGTCAGGTAGGGAGGTTGAGGAGGGTAGAGCAAACAGAGGGAGAGTGAGGCAGGAGAGAGTGTGGCCCTGTAAGAGAATCAAAGCCTCTTTCCTCTGGGCGAGGGGCAGGGCACCTGGCAGCTGAGGGCACTGATCTCACTGATCTCATGTGTCCAACTGAGTCACTTGGACCTCATCTGAGGACCCTAGGCGGCCGCCAAAGGGCTTTACGTGAGAGAGTGACATAATTCAATATTTATCTTACAAATAACACTGAGGCTGCCGCATAGGATAGCTGAAGAAGGCAGTCTTCTTCCGTGAGGCAAGGGGCAACGGATGTGAGGAGCAGTGCAGCGGGGGACACTTAGTTGAACATCTTTCGAGCATTCGTTAAGTGTCTAATGTGTTCAAGATGTTCTAAGTGTATCATCGCACTTAATCCTCATAAGCAGCCCTGTGAGGCACGCTCATTTCACAGATGAGGAGAACTGAGGCGCAGAGAGGGCAAGGTCACTCAAGCAGAAAGTGATGGGGCCATAGGGTCATCCCGCTGCCCTCATGGGCCTGGAGAGCAGAGGAAAGGCCTGAAGAGGGGGTGTGGGTGTCCCAAGAGGCAGAAGCCAGGGGGGCAGGGAGAAGAGACATGACCACTGGAACCCTGGAGATGGCTAACACTCAGGGCAAGAGCAGAGGAATGGGTGCCTGCAGGGTGAATTGGAGAGAGGGATGCCAGAATGAAGGGCGCGGTCAGACGTGTCAGATTCCGTAAGAGTGATTCAAGGCTACAGAGTGTCCACAGAACTTAGCAATGGCGAGGTCACCACTCACCCTGGTGAGAGCGGCTGGTGGAGGGTGGAGCTGGGTTGGGAGGGTGGTGTAGGTGAGCACATGACTACAAGCAGTGTAGACATCTCCTTCTGGAATTTGGGCTGGGGCTAGAGAGCAGAGAGGGAGGGTGGAGGCTGGAGGGCGATGCAGCTGAGTGGAGGAGCTTGTGTAAATGCTCACGGCACAGCCGAGGGAGTGAGGGTAGGAAAGGAGGAAGTGGGGCCCAGAGCGCAGGTGTGGGGGGCTCTCCCACGTAAGAACGCGCCAAGGACCAAGCTTCCCTCTCTTGGAGAAGAAAGCAGCTAGTTGTTAGGCCTGGAAACAGTAGAGGCTGTCCTAGAAGACTTCCCTGGCCGTGGAGATGTGGAAGGGGCTGGCTGGGCTCCCTTCTCTCTGAAGCCCTTTCCAGGCTGCAGAATGAGTCAGGGCCACACTAGTCCATACAGTGCTTTTGTGCCCCATCAAAGAAAGCACCCCTTCTTCCAGGTGGGCATAGCCCTTTGCCAGGGTACACAGCTTGGCAAGCAGAGCATTGGCTGGATTTCAGCCCCTCAATGTTCCCTCCACCATGCACCTTTTGTGTAGTGAACGGCCTGCACAACGTCACACAGCATCCCCAGGTGGGAGATAGGTTCCTTCTTATCCTTTGACTTGTGTCCCTCCCTTCTCTCTACCTGCTCTTTCTAGTGCCTCAGACGGATCCCAGCTCAGTGACTCTACCCCGCCTGGGAAAGCTGTGGGTGACAGATCCCACCCCAGATTCGCTGCACCTCTCCTGGACTGTCCCTGAGGGCCAGTTTGACTCCTTCGTGGTCCAGTACAGGGACAGGGATGGACGGCCCCAGGTGGTGCCCGTGGAAGCTCCCGAGCGCTCGGTCATTGTCTCCCCACTGGACCCTGACCACAAGTACAGATTCACTCTGTTTGGGATTGCCGACAAGAAGCGGCACGGCCCCCTCACGGCCGATGGCACCACTGGTGAGTAGCGGCCACCTAAGCCCCCATGTGATCCCTCCCAGTCTCCTGCATGCTTCCCCCAGCCAGGAACCAGCTGGGGCCTCCCAGCGAGATGGCTGACTCCGAATCCTGGTCCTGCTTTTGGGCTCAGGGCCAGCCAGCCTCCCCTGCACTGCTGGGACCCTTTCATCCTGTTCAGCTGCTCCCCAAGGCCCAGAAGGTGTGTCATACCCTGCTTGTGCCAGATTTCTCAGAGTTCATCACTCGTGCTAATTGCATAGAGACTCCCACAGGTGTGACAACCTGTCCAAACCCCAGGCCCCAATCCTGGGGTTCTGCCAGCTCAGCCCTGCCTGGATCCTCTTATTTACAGCCCCAGAGAAGAGAGAGGAGCCCCGCCACCCAGAGTCCCCTGAGCAGCCCCTGCTGGGGGAGCTGACAGTGACTGGCAGTGCCCCAGACTCCCTGTGCCTGTCCTGGACGGTGGCCCAGGGCTCTTTTGACTCCTTCATGGTCCAGTACAAGGATGCGCAGGGGCGGGCCCAGGCAGTGCCCATCAGGGGGCATGAGAATGAGGTCACCATCCCCGGCCTGGAGTCCGACCGGAAGTATAAGATGAACCTCTACGGGCTTCATGGCAGGCAGCGCGTGGGGCCTGTGTCCGTGGTGGCCACCACAGGTGAGTCAGGGCTGCATGGGGCTCCCTCCCTGGCCAACCCCCAGCCCTGTGAGCAGGACCTGACCCGGGATCCTTCACACTTCCCTCCACCTTCTCTTTCTCGGCTCCAGTTCTGCCAAAACCTCCACAGTCTACTTCCCGACATCCCAGGACTTTGCATCCAGCCACCAGCCCCTGACCAAACTTTCTTGGCCCTGCTTCTCCATCTCCAAGAACAGCCCCCATTTCCCACATTCTGAGCACTGGGAATCACCCCTTCACCCCGGGCTGTCCTCCCTGTGGATGTCCTCAACCACTGTGTTCTTCCCCCTCGGTCTTTGCTGGCCTTCTTCCCCTGGCTCAGGTTGTGGTCATTTCTGAGCTTCTGTTGCCTGCTGCCCACACCCTCCCGCCATAGCTGCTCTGTTCAGAGCTGGCAAATCCAAGGGACATGAGCTCCACGTTTCGCCAGCCTCCTCCCAGCCCCCTGATGCCCTGACTCCCAGCCAGCTTGGAGCAGGGCAAAGGGCTCACTTTCAGTCCCCCTGCCCTGCATTCCTCCATGGGCCCAGCCTCCCCCATCCAGCACCATCTCCATGGCTGTGTATCATTGCGGTTGGGAGCGTGGGCTCTAGAGCCAACTGCCTGGATTTGAATCCTAGCTCAGGGATCTTGTGCAAGTTACTGAACCTCTTTGGGCCTCAGCTTTCTCATCTGTTAAATGGGGATGATAATAGTAACAGCTTCACAGAGTTGTTAGAATTAAATGAGTTAATATATACATGGCACCTAGAACAGTGCCTGGCACATCAAAACTGCTGTTGAAGAGTGAGCTACTATTTCTCCCTGACCCTCTCGCTTCCCAGTATCCTTTTTCTCTCCTCACCTCCCCACCTTCCCCATCCTTGCCTGGGTTATCATTCTTGCCTGCTGCCTCCTCAATCTCCTGTCTCCTTAGCAGTCCCCCGTGGACTGTGGAGTGGGTCACAGAAGGGCTGGCTTCCCTGTGCCAGTCTCCCCGCCCCATGGAGCCTCAGCAAAGACCTAGCTGCTGCAGACCGTGGGCAGATGCCTCGGGGCTGTGACTCTAGCCCAGGCCAGGGAAGAGCACGGCCCTCCACAGCCCCCAGCGCCATCTGCAACATCTCCCCCGGCCACGCCCCACTCCCTCTCTTGTCTGAAGTGGAGGGAGGGGCAGGGTTGCCCTGGGAAGCCTTAGCGGAGCACATCCCATTTCCTGTCCTGATCAGTGGAGCTGAAAGGGAGGAACACAGTGGGAAGAAGCCTTACTACACCCTCCTGTGGTCAGCACTGTCCATGAACACAGCAGAGAAGCATCCCTCAGAGTTCCCTCTCTTCCCATCTCGTCTCCTTTCTCAGACGTGAGAGGCAGCCCCCTATCCCCACAGTGCAGTCGTCCAGCACTGACGAGGTTTAGGGGCTGTCTCAGCCCTGTCTCCTTTGATGAGTTACTGATGGCTAATACAAAGGCTATAGGAACCCCTAAGCTGACAGCTTGAAGAGTATATTTGCCAAATGTACTTTATTGTCACAATTAACATCACCACAAAGCACATCACCTGTAAAGTCTAATCTCCTCTCTCAGCCCCGCAGGAAGGCGTGGACGAGACCCCCAGCCCCACAGAGCCCAGCACAGAGGCACCAGAGCCCCCCGAGGAGCCCCTCCTGGGGGAGCTGACGGTGATAGGATCCTCCCCGGACTCGCTGAGCCTCTCCTGGACCGTCCCCCAGGGCCACTTCGACTCTTTCACCGTCCAGTACAGAGACAGGGATGGGCAGCCCAAGGTGATGCGGGTGCCAGGGCACCAGGACGGGGTCACCATCTCGGGCCTGGAGCCAGACCACAAGTACAAGATGAACCTGTACGGCTTCCATGACAGCCAGCGCGTGGGCCCCGTCTCTGTCATCGGGGTGACAAGTGAGTGGATGGTGGAAGCCCCAGGGTGGGACCTCGTGGGAGGATCACCCTCTCTCAGGTGATGGGTGAGTGGGGTGCAGGAGGCCCGTCTACTCGAGGCTGAGCCATGGTGCCCTGTGTGCCTCCTCCAGGCTCCCTGAGGACCAGTGTGTCCCCCTGGGCAGGAAAGGGTCTCTGTGAGCCGTGCTGGTGGCTGCCCTGGTCCCCCACAGCTGACCCCGGAGGCTCCAGGCATGTTTATGAGATGTCAGCTGAGCAGAACCACCCAGCCCCAAGGACGGGCTTCTCTGAACTGACCTCAGGGCCCGGAGCCGGGGCCAAGGCTTGGTAGGAGACCCAAGGACATCACCGGGGACCCTGCCTCACCCTCTCTGCGTCTCTCCTTCTCAGCTGCAGAGGAAGACACCCCCGGCCCCACAGCACCCAGCACAGAGGCCTCGGAGGCCCCCGAGGAGCCCCTCCTGGGGGAGCTGACGGTGACAGGATCCTCCCCGGACTCGCTGAGCCTCTCCTGGACCGTCCCCCAGGGCCACTTCGACTCCTTCACCATCCAGTACAAGGGCAGGGACGGGCCCCAGGTGGTGCGTGTCGGGGGCGAGGAGAGTGAGGTGACCGCTGGGGGCCTGGAGCCCGGGCGCAAGTACAAGATGCACCTGTACGGCCTGCACGGGGGGCGGCGTGTGGGCCCCGTGTCCACCGTGGGCGTGACCGGTGAGTGAGGCCGGGGGCCTTGTTTGTTTTCCTCCCACCAGTGGCCCCCAGCCTCCCTGTGGCATTGCCCTCCCTTGCCTTCCCCACCTGCCTGGGGAAGACCTAGAAAGAACAGTTCACAGGGGACTGGGCTACAACCAGCTGCACAACTTTGAGCAAGTCTTAAACTTTCTGTGCCTGTTTCCTCAGCTGTAAAATGGGGATAGTAACACCTACCTCACAGAACCATTGTGAGATTAAATGAGTTAACAGACCTAAGAAAGGGTCTGGCACCAAGTAAACATTCTGGCAATGTTTGCTGCTATGGTTACTACATTTGTCCTTATGCTGGGGTCTGCTCTGTCCCCTTTGGCTGGTTCAGCTTAGATATTCAGAATGTGCATGAGACATTGCCCTCTGCACCAGGGCAGCTGGAAACTTTCTTTACTGCTCATCCAGTGAGTGGTTATAGCAAGGAAGAATGTCCCTTCCACCCGGGTACAGGGCCACTCAGCCACCACAGAGGACCAGCCTGGGCACCTACTCTCCAGAGCCCCAGCGTGAGGGGCCAGATCACAGACAGGCCTCTGGGACCCTCCTGCTAATCTGCCCAGCTTGGCCCCAGCAAGGGGCATGTCTTTTCCCCTTTTTTCACTGAAACAAAGACACAGCTTTTTCAAAAGCAACTTTTAATATAAAGGGGAAGATTTTAAAAAGCAGAGAAACAGGTTTCCAGAGCACGGTTTCTGTACTTCTCAAAGGGCCTTGGTTGGCTTAGTTTCCAGAAGCTTCCACTCCCGATTTCTTTTCTTTCTTTAGTCAGCACAGAGAGTAGGGAGAGGGGAAATCCTCCCTGAGGTACTTACTGTCCTGCAGGCCTGAAGTAGCAGGATGGAGGCTCATGCCAGGCCCAGAAAATGTGGCTGAAGTTTCTCGTGGAGTCACCCTCAGTCCGTCCGTCTGTCCAGGGCAGCCACACTGGTCCCTGGATAAGGATGGACAGTGTCATGCACTGACTGAGGCGGTGCAGTAGAGGAAAACTGAATCTTGGAATCGGAGAAACTGAGTTCCATTCCTGGCTTCTCAGTTCTTAGCTGTGCGATGGCGCTCATCATCCCAGCAGGAAGGTGATAGGCAGCTGGAGCCCGCTGAGCTGACCCAGGGCCGGTCCCTGGCACACAGCGCAGGGTGAACCGTTGCTAGGAGAAGAACCAGCATGCAGCTTTAGAAACGTGGCTAACTTGGGAAAGGGTTCTGCCAAATGCAGCATAGGGCCTGCGGTACTCATGGGTAGTTATCATTCCGCCTTTCCCAGTTAAGCCAAACCACCAATGATAAGGCTTGATGGTGAGGGACAGTTTCTCTCTCTCATGGAAAGAAGTACAGAGACGCAGGAAATGGATGCTAAGGGAACCAGCAGAGCTAGAAGGCGAATGAAATGAAACACAACGCGTGGCCTGGCACCTGTACCTGGGAGAAGCTCAGTACGTGATGGTTGTTCCGGCCCACCTTCAGCTGCCTGCATCCCTGCCCTCCCCACTCAGACTTATTTCTGTCCTCCTGAGGCCTCATCTCCAGCCTGGCCACACCACACGGCTGGTGGGATCTTAGTTCCCCAGCCAGGGATTGAACCTGTGCCCCCTACAGTGGAAGCATGGAGCCCTAACCACTGGACCACCAGGGAAGTCCCATGCCAGCCTGTTTTTTTTTTTTTTTTTTTTCTTCACCCGGGCCTCTCACTGTTGTGGCCTCTCCCGTAGCGGAGCACAGGCTCCAGACGCGCAGGCCCAGTGGCCATGGCTCACAGGCCCAGCCGCTCCGCGGCATGTGGGATCCTCCCGGACCGGGGCATGAACCCGTGTCCCCTGCATCGGCAGGCGGACTCTCAACCACTGCGCAACCAGGGAAGCCCCCAGCCTGTTTTTAAAGCAGGTTTTATCAGTACAGAGCCTAGTCTTGTCCTCCCACAGGAGCCAGAGAAACAAGCTCTTGGGAACCCCACTCACCCAGCTACCCCTCTGCCAGTTGCCTCTTGGGACCACCTTCTAGGCTGGTCACTAATGAGCAGGGCTTCCAAGACTCAGCTCGTTCTGGGGCAATGGGGTCCTGAGCTTGGCCTTTTCCAGACCTGCAGACCATTCATTAATTTAACAAACATTAGTGGAGCACCCATTGGGTGCCAGTGCTGGAGACACAGCAGCGAACAAGGCCAAGCTCCTGCTGAGAGCTCACATTCTGTCAGAGGGAGACAGGCACCAAATTGCACAAATATGTCAGTGGGACCGTATGTGACAGTGACAAGAGCTGGGGAGAAAAGCAAAGCCCAGTAGGTGAGATGGTGAGTGGGCGGGAAGTAGGCAGGAAAGGGCCTCCCTGGGAAAAGGACCTGCAGGAGGGAGAGGACAAGCCACGCAGGCCTCTGGGGAAGAGCATCCGGAGCAGAGGGAAGGTGCCTGAATGTCTGTGGACCAGTGAGGAATGTTTTGGAATGGGGAGGGTGATGTGAGAGATAAACAGGTGGGGCCTTGGAGGTCATTGTAAGGACCTGGTTTTTTTCTCTGAGTGAGATGGAAGCCATTGCGGGAACAGGCTCTGACTAATGTGTTAACAGTGGGGAACAGAGCAAAGGGGATGAGGGTGGAGGAGGGAGGGGATTTAGGAGACTGTGCTGTAGTCCAGTAAGAGCACGTGTGCTTAGAGATGGTGGCGGTGGAGTTGGGGAGGGGGAAGGGGGTCACCTTCTGAAGGTAGTGCGGACAGGATTTCCTCGCAGGCCGGCCGAGGGGTGGAAGAGAGGACTCAGGGATGACTCCAAGAATGAAGCTGTGGTTTTGCTGAGGTGGGAAAGCTGGGGAGGGAGCAGGTGTGGCAGCAGCCCCTGAGCTCGGTTTTGGACTTGTTGAGTTTGAGACATCAGTTAGGCACCCCAGGAAAATGCTGAGCAAACACAAGTCTGGGGGTCAGCAGGGAGGTCTGGATGGGAGGTCTTTGGAGCCAGAGATGCACAGATGGAACTTCAGCCACTTTCCCAGGATCTCAGTGGTGGCTGACACCCCTCCCCGCAAGCACAGCCCCGGATTCTGGCAGGGATTTAGTGAAGGGTTGTTGGCCAGACAGATGTCGCCAATCAGTGTAGTCTTACATCAGAACCACCCGGTGGGCACCACAAAAACAACACACATAATTACCACAAGGGGAAGAGGGGCTTTTCCTAACAGCCTCCCACCATCTCTATCTCAGCTCCACAACCAGAAGAGACTCCCGCAGCCACCGAGTCCCCCAGGGAGCCACGCCTCGGGGAGCTGACAGTGACAGATGTGACCCCCAGCTCCGTGGGCCTTGCATGGACAGTCCCTGAGGGCCAGTTTGACTCCTTCGTGGTCCAGTACAAGGACAGGGACGGGCAGCCCCAGGTGGTGCCTGTGGCTGCAGACCAGCGAGAGGCCACTGTCCTCGGCCTGGAGCCTGCAGGCAAATACAAGATGAACTTCTATGGGCTACATGGTGGGCAGCGCGTGGGCCCCCTCTCTGTGGTAGCCATGACGGGTGAGTGAGCGTGGGTGAAGGTAGTTCCCATCCCTTGTTACCCAGGGCCACCCCCTCCCCTAGCCTCTCTCTCAGGTCCTGCCTCAGTGGCCCCCGCAGGTCCTCCCCAGTCTATTACCTGAGCCCTTGGCTCCTCTCCTGAGCTGGAACCTTCCCTACCCTCCAGTCTCCACCTCCACTCTGTCTCCTCCCCCAGGCAGGATTGTCTTCCTCCCATCTGACCTGAGTCTAGCCAAACACTGTCTCTCTGACTGTCCACAGCTGTTTCCTTCCCTCTCTTTACAACCCTGCTGTGACTTGGACCCAGCTACCACCTCCCCCTGCTGCCCTTTTTCATTGGGGTTAAAGAACACACATCCCTTGAATCTCTTCTCAGGGGCCCTCAGCCCCCTGGCCTGAGCTGTGTTCCCTTCTGGCCAAGCCAGAATCTCGCTCCCTCAGGGAAGCGGCCCTTGCTCGTGGCTCCCAGCCTCTCCCACCCCTCATGCTTCCTGGGCATAGGTTGCCACCACTTTTGTGCTATGGTGTCTGGCGAGACCAGTGAACCCCTTTCAGAGCAATGTCTTAAAATCCATAAAGTAAAACGCATAGGATTACAAAGTAACCAATTCTATTGATTAACCAATTATCAAAAATATTTTAAAACTCGAATTTATTATTCAGTAATACAGGAACTTCATCATTAGTTCATTAAATAGCAAGACTTAGTGGCATGTTTAATAACCTGCCCACATTTAGAAGCAGTGATGAGTGTAAAGAGTATTTTTTTTAATTTTTTAATTTAATTTTATTTATCTTTTTATACAGCAGGTTCTTATTAGTTATCCATTTTATACATATTAGTGTATACATGTCAATCCCAATCTCCCAGTTCATCCCACCACCATCACCCGCGCCGCCCACCACTTTCCCCCCTTGGTGTCCATACATTTGTTCTCTACATCTGTGTCTCTGTTTCTGCCCTGCAAACTGGTTCATCTGCACCATTTCTCTGGGTTCCACATATATGCGTTAATAGACAATATTTGTTTTTCTCTTTCTGACTTACTTCACTCTGTATGACAGACTATAGGTCCATCCACGTCTCCACAAATCACCCAATTTCGTTCTTTCTTATTGTATATATGTACCACATCTTCTTTATCCATGCGACTGTAGATGGGCATTTAGGTTGCTTCCATGCCCTGGCTATTGTAAATAGTGCTGCAATGAACATTGGGCTGCATGTGTCTTTTTGAATTATGGTTTTCTCATATACTGGGTATATGCCCAGTAGCGGGATTTCTGGGTCATATGGTAATTCTATTTTTAGTTTTTTAAGGAACCTCCATACTGTTCTCCATAGTGGCCGTATCAGTTTACATTCCCACCAACACTGCAAGAGGGTTCCCTTTTCTCCACACCCTTTCCAGCATTTGCTGTTTATAGATTTTCTGATGATGGCCATTCTAACTGGTGTGAGGTGATACCTCATTGTAGTTTTGATTTGCATTTCTCTAATAATTAGTGATGTTGAGCAGCTTTTCATGTGCTTCTTGGCCATCTGTATGTCTTATTTGGAGAAATGTCTATTTAGGTCTTCTGCCCATTTTTGGACTGGGTTGTTTGTTTTTTTAATATTGAGCTGCATGAGCTGTTTATATATTTTGGAGATTAATCCTTTGTCCATTTATTCGTTTGCAAATATTTTCTCCCATTCTGAGGGTTGTCTTTCCGTCTTGTTTGTAGTTTTCTTTGCTTTGCAAAAGCTTTTAAGTTTCATTAGGTCCCATTTGTTTATTTTTGTTTTTATTTCCATTACTCTAGGAGGTGGATCAAAAAAGGTCTTGCTGTGATTTATGTCAAAGAGTGTTTTCCTCTAAGAGTTTGATAGTGTTCAGTCTTACATTTAGGTCTCTAATCCATTTTAAGTTTATTTTTGTGTATGGTGTTAGGGAGTGTTCTAATTTCATTCTTTTATATGTAGCTGTCCAGTTTTCCCAGCACCACTTATTGAAGAGACTGTCTTTTCTCCATTTTATATCCTTGCCTCCTTTGCCATAGATTAGTTGACCATAGGTGTGTGAGTTTATCTCTGGGCTTTCTATCTTGTTCCATTGATCTATATTTCTGTTTTTGTGCCATATTGTACCATATTGTCTTGATTACTGTAGCTTTGTAGTATCATCTGAAGTCAGGGAGTCTGATTCCTCCAGTTATGCTTTTTTCCCTCAAGACTGCTTTGGCTATTCGGGGTCTTTTGTGTCACCATACAAATTTTAAGATTTTTTGTTCTAGTTCTGTAAAAAATGCCATTGGTAATTTGATAGGGATTTCACTGAATCTGTAGATTGCTTTGGTAATATAGTCATTTTCACAATATTGATTCTTCCAATCCAATAACATGGTATATCTCTCCATCTGTTTGTATCATCTTTAATTTCTTTCATCAGTGTCTTATAGTTTTCTGCATACAGGCCTTTTGTCTCCCTAGGTAGGTTTATTCCTAGGTGTTTTATTCTTTTTGTTGCAGTGGTAAATGGGAGTGTTTCCTTAATTTCTCTTTCAGATTTTTCATCATTAGTGTATAGGAATGCAAGAGATTTCTGTGCATTAATTTTGTATCCTGCATCTTTACCAAATTCATTGATTAGCTCTAGTAGTTCTCTGGTGGCATCTTTAGGATTCTCTGTGTATAGTATCATGTCATCTGCAAACAGTGACAGCTTTACTTCTTCTTTTCCAATGTGTTTTCCTTTTCTTTCTTTTTCTTCTCTGATTGCTATGGCTAGGACTTCCAAAACTATGTTGAATAATAGTGGTGAGAGTGGACATCCTTGTCTTGTTCCTGATCTTAGAGGAAATGCTTTCAGTTTTTCACCATTGAGAATGATGTTTGCTGTGGGTTTGTCATATATGGCCTTTATTATGTTGAGGTAGGTTCCCTCTATGCCCACTTTCTGGAGAGTTTTTATCATAAATGGGTGTTGAATTTTGTCAAAAGCTTTTTCTGCATCTATTGAGATGATCATATGGTTTTTATTCTTCAATTTGTTAATATGGTGTATCACATTGATTGATTTGCATATATTGAAGAATCCTTGCATCCCTGGGATAAATCCCACTTGATCATGGTGTATGATCCTTTTAATGTGTTGTTGGATTCTGTTTGCTAGTATTTTGTTGAGGATTTTTGCATCTATATTCATCAGTGATATTGGTCTGTAATTTTCTTTTTTTGTAGTATCTTTGTCTGGTTTTGGTATCAGGGTGATGGTGGCCTCATAGAATGAGTTTGGGAGTGTTCCTTCCTCTGCAATTTTTTGGAAGAGTTTGAGAAGGATGGGTGTTAGCTCTTCTCTAAATGTTTGATAGAATTCACCTGTGAAGCCATCTGGTCCTGGACTTTTGTTTGTTGGAAGATTTTTAATCACAGTTTCAATTTCAGTACTTGTGATTGGTCTGTTCATATTTTCTATTTCTTCCTGGTTCAGTCTTGGAAGGTTATACCTTTCTAAGAATTTGTCCATTTCTTCCAGGTTGTCCATTTTATTGGCATAGAGTTGCTTATAGTAGTCTCTTAGGATGCTTTGTATTTCTGCGGTGTCTGTTGTAACTTTTTCATTTCTAATTTTATTGATTTGAGTCCTCTCCCTCTTTTTCTTTTTTTTTTTTAATATTTAATTTTATTTATTTTTGACTGAGTTGGGTTTTTGTTGCTGCACACGGGCTTTCTCCAGTTGCTGCGAGCAGGGACTACACTTGTTGCAGTGCACGGGCTTCTCACTGTGGTGGATTCTCTTGTTGCGGAGCATGGGCTGTAGGCATGCGGGCTTCAGTAGTTGTGGCACGCGGGCTCTAGAGCGCAGGCTCAGTAGTTGTGGTGCATGGGCTTAGTTGCTCCATGGCATGTGGGATCTTCCTGGACCAGGGATCAAACGCGTGTCCCCTGCATTGGCAGGCAGATTCTCAACCACTGTGCCACCAGGGAAGTCCCACCAGTCTATTTTGTATGTCCCTGATTCTGTTTCTGTTTCATAGACAAGTTCATTTGTGTCATATTTTATTTTGTTTTTTTTTAACATCTTTATTGGAGTATAATTGTTTTACAATGATATGTTAGTTTCTGCTTTATAACAAAGTGAATCAGTTATACATATACATATGTTCCCATATCTCTTCCCTCTTGCGTCTCCCTCCCTCCCACCCTCCCTATCCCACCCCTCTAGGTGGTCACAAACCACCTAGCTGATCTCCCTGTGCTATGCGGCTGCTTCCCACTAGCTATCTATTTTATGTTTGGTAGTGTATATATGTCCATGCCACTCTCTCACTTTGTCACAGTTTACCCTTCCCCCTCCCCATATCCTCAAGTCCATTCTCTAGTAGGTTCCCTCTTTTTCTTGATGAGTCTGGCTAATGGTTTATCAATTTGTTTATCTTCTCAAAGAACCACCTTTTAGTTTTATTGATCTTTGCTATTGTTTTCTTTGCTTCTATTTCATTTATTTCTGCTCTGATCTTTATGATTTCTTTCCTTCTACTAACTTTGGGCTTTGTTTGTTCTTTCTCTAGTTCCTTCAGGTGTAAGGTTAGAGTTTTTATTTGAGATTTTTCTTGTTTCTTGAGGTAGGCTTTTATTGCTATAAACTTCCCTCTTAGAACTGCTTTTGCTGCATCCCATAGGTTTTGGATAGTCATGTTTTCATTGTAATTTGTCTCTAGGTATTTTTTTATTTCTTCTTTGATTTCTTCAGTGATCTCTTGGTTATTTAGTAACATATTGTTTAGCCTCCATGTGTTTGTGTTTTTTTACATTTTTTTCCCTGTAATTTTTTCCATGTAATTTCCCTGTAATTTACCTGTTCTTCTGGCTTAGTTATTCTGCTACTGATTCCTTCTAGTGTAGTTTTCATTTCAGTTATTGTATTGTTCATCTCTGTTTGTTGTTCTTTAATTCTTCTAGGTCTTTGTTAAACATTTCTTGCATCTTCTCGATCTTTGCCTCCATTCTTTTTCTGAGGTCCTGGATCATCTTCACTATCATTATTCTGAGTTCTTTTTCTGGAAGGTTGCCTATCTCCACTTCATTTAGTTGTTTTTCTAGGGTTTTATCTTGTTCCTTCATCTGGTACATAGCCCTCTGCCTTTTCATCTCGTCTATCTTTCTGTGAATGTGGATTTTGTTCCACAGGCTGCAGGATTGTAGCTCTTCTTGCTTCTGCTATCTGCCCTCTGGTGGATGAGGCTATCTAAGAGGCTTGTGCAAGTTTCCTGATGGGAGGGACTGGGGGTGAGTAGAGTTGGGTGTTGCTCTGGTGGGCAGAGCTCAGTAAAACTTTAATCCACTTGTCTGCTGATGGGTGGGACTGGGTTCCTTCCCTGTTGGTTGTTTGGCCTGAGGCGGCCCAGCACTGGAGCCTACCCGCCTCTTTGGTGGGGCTAATGGTGGACTCCGGGAAGGGTTATGCCAAGGAGTACTTCCCAGAACTTCTGCTGCCAGTGTCCTTGTCCTCATGGTGAGCCACAGCCACCCCCCGCCTCTGCAGGAGACCCTCCAACACTAGCAGGTATGTCTGCTTCAGTCTCCCCTGTGGTCATTGCTCCTTCCCCTGGGTCCCGATGCGCACACTACTTTGTGTGTGCCCTCCAAGAGTGGAGTCTCTGTTTCCCCCAGTCCTGTTGAAGTCCTGCAATCAAATCCCACTAGCCTTCAAAGTCTGATTCTCTGGGAATTCCTCCTCCCATTGCCCGACCCCCAGTTTGGGAAGCCTGACGTTGGGCTCAGAACCTTCACTCCAGTGGGTGGACTTCTGTGGTATAAGTGTTCTCCAGTTTGTGAGTCACCCACCCAGCAGTTATGGGATTTGATTTTATTGTGATTGCGCCCCTCCTACCATCTCACTGTGGCTTCTCCTTTGTCTTTGGATGTGGGGTATCTTTTTTGGTGAGTTCCAGTGTCTTCCTGTCGATGATTGTTCAGCAGTTAGTTGTGACTCCGGTGCTCTCGCAAGAGGGAGTGAGCTCACATCCTTCTGCTCCGCCATCTTGAACCAATCTCTGTAAAGGGTATTTTGAAGTTTCTGCAGTAATTCTAAGGTGATGTGACAATCTCTGTGATTCCTATTGGTGACAGGGTTACAAGCACTGCTAGTACCACCGTGGTTGGTTTCCTATATTCATCATTGAAAGAAATGCTACATTTCACTTAGAGATCAGTGCAAAAGAGATGTAACTGTTTCCCATCTCAGTTCAAAGCCCTCTAAGGCCCTCGGAGCCCAGGAGCCCTGTGAGGGGGGATTTCTCCCGCCAGAGGTCTCAGCCATGTTCTTTGTCCTCCTGGATCCTAGCTCCCCTCTCTCCAGCCCCAGGCACAGAGCCCCCCCTTGAGCCACATCTGGGGGAGCTGACAGTGACGGACGTGACCCCGGACTCCGTGGGCCTCTCCTGGACAGTCCCCGAGGGTGAATTCGACTCCTTCGTGGTCCAGTACAAGGACAGGGACAGGCAGCCCCAGGCGGTGCCTGTGGCTGCAGACCAGCGTGAGGTCACCATCGCCGGCCTGGAGCCCAATAGGAAATACAAGTTCCTGCTCTTTGGGATCCAGGACGGGAAACGCCACAGCCCAGTCTCTGTGGAGGCAAAGACAGGTGAGAGGGACCCCCACAAAGCTGAGCCTGAGGCCCCAGCCCTGCTGCCCTTCCTCACGCTGCCCTGTCACCTCTCCCTTCTGCCGGGTCTCCGCTTCATCCACCTCTTCTGTTTTATTTGAAAAGCCACACTGCCTGCCCTGATCCCAGGCAGATGAGAACCAGGAAAATGGGGCCAGTTCCTGGATCAGTTTCCCCTGCTGACTTTTCCCCTCTTCTCATAATTCCTACTTCTGTTGAACGGGGGAGCCTTCTTCAGACCCCTTCCTGGAAGGTGGAACAGGAGAAACAGCAGGGCTAGATACGGGGCAGGGAGTCAGGAGCCGTTCCACCTCCCTTGGCCTGTGAGTCCTCAGCCCTGTGTAGCCATCACCTCCTGAGGAGTCTTCCCTCTGACTCTCACCCAGTTTCCCACCTACTGGCCCAGACACACTGGGTCCCATATCTGCCTCCCCAGAGGGACCCCTTTCCTCCTCTGCCCTCTTCCTGGAGCTTCAGAAACTGGGGACCAGAGGAGCCCAAGACTGGCTGCACAGTCAGACCCAATCCGGCCCAGCCCAGCTGTGCCCCTTTCCTGGGTTTTGGTCCAGGCGCTCCCCTGCCCCTGGGGGCTCCCTGTTGCCAGAACACTCTCACCATAACAATGCCGTCAGCATCCTTGCTGTCCAAGAAGGCAGAAGGCCAGCTGCTTCTCAGGCCTCGCGATGGCTTCTTGGGCAGAGACCAGATCCTTCTCCCGTCTGAGCTCCCCTTCTTCTCCCCATACCCGCCTCACACATAGGCAGCCCCCACTGCCCCACTGGGTCCTATGAGGGTCACCTCCATCATGATATCCTACCTCCCCACCAGCTGTCTGCCCCCGTCAGGGATCCTGTGCCCCCTCTGACATCCCCAGGACCCTTGGATTTCCGCAGGGACCAGTCAGATCACAAAGAGTGGGTTCCTTGGTCAAAGGAAATAAGCAGACCAGGTCTGTGATAAGCTGCACCCTGCTAAGGAAATAGTCTCTACTAGGTGGTTAGAGCCTGGCCAGCAAGAGGAATAAGATAAATAGGTAGCTAGAGAATCTCTTCTCCCAGAGATGTCTCAGGACAGAAGACCCCTCCCTGCGCTGGTTAAGTGGACAGAGGCAGGGCCAGTTGGGGATGCTGGCAGGCATGGGAGGGTGATGGAAATATTGGGGGGAAGCACTGATCATTTGGGCAGTTCTGGGTTTTTCCGTTCTCCAGTGGGAGGCAGTCAAGGAGTCGTTTTGGAAAGAAAAATAAACACAAGAACCTTTCCTCTCTGTCAGTTGCTCGAGGTGACACCAGCCCAGGAGCCCCACCCCGCCTCGGGGAGCTGTGGGTGACAGACCCCACCTCAGACTCACTGCGCCTCTCCTGGACAGTCCCCGAGGGCCACTTTGACTCCTTTGTGGTCCAGTTCAAGGACAGGGACGGGCCACGGGTGGTGCCTGCAGAGGGCCACGAGCGCTCGGTCACCATCGGCCCTCTGGACGCCAGCCGCAAGTACAGATTCCTCCTCTACGGCCTCCGGGGCAAGAGGCGCCATGGCCCCGTCACCGCCGAGGGCACCACAGGTGAGGGCAGCCCCTGCAGGGGGCATCTGTCATCTGGAGGCCCCCCCGGGGAAGGTCCTTGTGGTCAGTTATGGTGGCTGCCATCACGGTTTTTGTTTGGCTCTAGATGTTGTGGCTGGGATCCAGTGCCCCCTCTCCTTGCACAAGCCGGAAGATCCAGCCCTGCAGGTTGCAGCCATGGCACAGCCCTGTCTTTAGATCTCTCAGTCCTTCCCTTCAGTGTCACCCAGCCTTCAAGAAACAACGCAACCATTTCCTCTCTGTGTTTCCATCTCAGAGACCCGGAGAGCTGTGGACGAGGCTGGAACAAAACCACGTCTGGGGGAGGAGCTGCAGGTGACCAGCGTGACATCAGACACCGTGGGCCTCTCGTGGACGGTCCCTGAGGGCCAGTTTGACTCCTTTGTGGTCCAGTATAAGGACAGAGATGGGCAACCCCAGGTGGTGCCCCTGGAGGGCAGCCTCAGGGAGGTCAGTGTCTCAGGCCTGGACCCTGCCCGCAGGTACAAGCTGCTGCTCTACGGGCTGTATGAGGGCAAGCGTGTGGGTCCCATCTCCACCATCGCCATGACCGGTGAGTGCAGCTGGGGGGAACACACTGTGCCTCCTGCACGCCTGGCTCTCCTGGTCTGGTGGAGCCACACGAATTCAGAGCTTCCTACACTCCTTCTTTTGGGGGAAGGGATCAGCTTCATAGAGACATAATTTACATACAATAAAATTCACCCATTTTAAGCTCATAATTCAATTAAACCATTACCACAACAAACATATAAAACATTGACTCCAGAAGTTTCCCTATGCTCATTTGCAGTCAGTTTTCCCACCCCCAGCTTCTGACAATCACTAATTGCTTTCTATCATTATAGTTTTTCCTTTTTAAGCTTTTCATTTAACAGAATCATACAGTACACAGTTTTTTGTGTTTTTCTTGCACTTAACATGATGCTTTTGAAATTCATCACTGTGTATCAGTAGTTGGTCCTTTTTATTACTGACCTCTTGTCTTTACCTCCTCCCCTCCTTCCATCCTCTTGGAGAGTCTTGGTGCAGTGACAAACCAGTCACCCATCTCTACCTGTCTCTCTGAACCAGCCCCCAGGGAAGAAGTCGAAGCTGAGACTGAGGCCCCCAGCCCTCCAGCATCTGAGCCCCGTCTGGGGGAGGTGACTGTGGAGGAGGGCACCCCACACACCCTGCATCTCTCCTGGACCGTGATTGAGGGAGAATTTGACTCCTTCGAGGTCCAGTACACAGACAAGGAGGGGCAACTCCAAGTAGTCCATTTAGGGGGCAACCAGAATGAGATCACCCTCTCTGGCCTGGAATCCGACCACAGATACCTGGTGAGCCTGTACGGTCTCCACAATGGGCAGCGTGTGGGTCCTGTGCACGTCAAGGCCCTGACAGGTGAGCAAAAGAACTCTGCCCACTCGGCTTCCTTCCAGGTGGCTGTGAGGGCCTGGAGGAGGGCAGAGTCCCTGTGGACACTGTGCCCCTCTCTCAGGTCCTTCTCTCTCCGTGTCTGTGTTCAGCCCCAAATGAGGAAGAGAATGAACCTTCAGAATCTCCCTCTACCACCCCTGAGCCTCACGTCACGCCTCGCCTGGGGGAGCTGGCAGTGACGGACGCCACCCCCGAATCCCTGAACCTCTCCTGGACCATCCCTGAGGGCCAGTTTGACCACTTCCTGATCCAGTACAAGAATGGGGATGGACAGCCCAAGGCTGTGAGGGTGCCGGGGTACGAGGACGAGGTCACCATCTCGGGCCTGGAGCCAGACCACAAGTACAAGATGAACCTGTACGGCTTCCATGACAGCCAGCGCGTGGGCCCCGTCTCTGTCATCGGGGTGACAAGTGAGTGGATGGTGGAAGCCCCAGGGTGGGACCTCGTGGGAGGATCACCCTCTCTCAGGTGATGGGTGAGTGGGGTGCAGGAAGCCCGTCTACTCGAGGCTGAGCCATGGTGCCCTGTGTGCCTCCTCCAGTCTCCCTGAGGACCATTGTGTCCCCCTGCGCAGAGAAGGGTCTCTGTGAGCCGTGCTGGTGGCTGCCCTGGTCCCCCACAGCTGACCCCGGAGGCTCCAGCCATGTTTATGAGATGTCAGCTGAGCAGAACCACCCAGCCCCAAGGACGGGCTTCTCTGAACTGACCTCAGGGCCCGGAGCCGGGGCCAAGGCTTGGTAGGAGACCCAAGGACATCACCGGGGACCCTGCCTCACCCTCTCTGCGTCTCTCCTTCTCAGCTGCAGAGGAAGACACCCCCGGCCCCACAGCACCCAGCACAGAGGCCTCGGAGGCCCCCGAGGAGCCCCTCCTGGGGGAGCTGACGGTGACAGGATCCTCCCCGGACTCGCTGAGCCTCTCCTGGACCGTCCCCCAGGGCCACTTCGACTCCTTCACCATCCAGTACAAGGGCAGGGACGGGCCCCAGGTGGTGCGTGTCGGGGGCGAGGAGAGTGAGGTGACCGCTGGGGGCCTGGAGCCCGGGCGCAAGTACAAGATGCACCTGTACGGCCTGCACGGGGGGCGGCGTGTGGGCCCCGTGTCCACCGTGGGCGTGACCGGTGAGTGAGGGCCCTCGGGATGAGGTCTCAGCAAAGGTCTGATAGTAGAGCCTCTTGAGCGTCTTCCACTGAAGACCCAGGACCCTAAAACTCCTGAACCTCTAACCCATCCATTGTCCATTCAACACCTCAGGACAGGTGTGATCTGGGGGCAGGAAGAACGAGTTCCAGGGAGGTGCTTTGCCCATTTGAGAGAGGCCGTTGGGGACTGAGGCCTCCAAGTCAGTCATGCACTGACCTGTTTGTGGCTCTCTGCTTTGCCTGGGAACTCTGAAAAGAGCTCTTTTTGGGTGTTGGGACAAATGCCATGAAATGCTAATTCTCAACAAGTATTTATTACATAAAATTTCAAACATATACCCAAAGAGAAAGAATAGCATAATGAACTCCCATGTGTCAATCACCCTCTGCTTCAACCAAAACTCAACTCCTGGCCAGTCTAGCTCATCCAGACCCCACTCACTTCCCACCCTCCCCGACTAGAATGTTTTCTTTATTAACAGCTTTATTGAGGTATAATTTACATACCATAAAATTCACCTGTTTTAAGGATACAACTTAACAATTTTAGTGTATTTACAGAGTTGTACGACCAGCATCACTTACTAATTTTAGAACTTTTCCATCACCTCAAGAAGAAACCTGGTGTCCAGACCCATTCCCATGCCCAGTTCTGGTCCCCACTAATCTACTTTTTGCCTCTGTAGATTTGCCTTTTCTGGACGCATCATATAACTAGAATCATACAATATGTGTTCTTTTGTGTCTGGCTTCTTTTACCAAGCACGGTTTTTTTTTGTTGTTTTTTTTTTTTTTGCGGTACGCGGGCCTCTCACTGCTGTGGCCTCTCCTGTTGCGGAGCCCAGGCTCCGGACGCGCAGGCTCAGCGGCCATGGCTCACAGGCCTAGCCGCTCCGCGTCATATGGTGTCTTCCCGGACCGGGGCACGAATCCACGTCCCCTGCATCGGCAGGCGGACCCGCGTCCCCTGCATCGGCAGGCGGACTCTCAACCGCTGCGCCACCAGGGAAGCCCGCCAAGCACGTTTTTGAGGTTGATTCATGTTGTAGCGTGTAGCAGTACTTCATTCCTTTATAGCCAAATAATATTCCATTGTATGGATTTACTGCTGCAATATTTTTAAACTTACTCCATACACTCTTCATCATTACATTTTAAAAAATTTTTTGGCTGCATTGGGTCTTCTCTGCTGCACATGGGCTTTCTCTAGTTGCAGCGAGCGGGCTTCGTTGTGCTGCACAGGCTTCTCATTGCGGTGGCTTCTCTTGTTGCAGAGCAGGGACCCTAGGCGCGTGGGCTTCTGTAGTTGTGGCACACGGGCTCAGTAGTTGTGGCACAGGGGCTTAGTTGCTCTGCGGCATGTGTGATCTTCCCGGACCAGGGATCGAACCTGTGTGCCCTGCACTGGCAGGTGGATTCTTAACCACTGCGCCACCAGGGAAGTCCCCATTATTACATATTTAAGTGTACTGCTCTTTTCAAAAAGACTATTTAGAAATAACCATGATACAATGATTATACCTTTAAAAATCAGATATCCAGATAGTGCTACAGTTTCCTGATTGTGTCATAATTGTTATTTTGCAATTTGTTGTTGCAATCAGGTCCAAGTAAGAAAGATAGGATGAAATTGGGAGAATTGGGATTTTAAATAGGGTGGTCAGGGAAGGCCCTAAAGGGACGGTGACATTTGAATGAAAGGAAGTGTGAACATGAGCCATGCAGACATCTGGGGAAAGAATATTCAGGAAGAGGGAACAGTCAGTGCAAAGGCCTTGAGGCAAGAAGCTGCCTGGCACATTTGATGGACCATAAGGAGGCCACAAAGAGATTTTGATGCTCATAAGCAGAAATGCATCTTAAGTTAGGCCCACAGAGCTGGCCCACCTTCTGCCTGAATCCAGGAGAGCAGGGCCTCAACAGTTCCTTGCAGCAACAGGAACGATTCTGTTTGCATCTCTTCCCAGCCCCTAAAGAGGACCCCCCTGCCAGCCCCCCTTTGAAGCCACAGCTGGGAGAGCTGACTGTGACGGACACCACCCCCGACTCCCTGAGCCTTTTCTGGAACGTCCCCGAGGGCCAGTTTGACCACTTCCTGGTCCAGTACAAGAACGGGGACGGGCAGCCCAAGGCGGTGAGGGTGCCGGGGCACCAGAACGGGGTCACCATCTCGGGCCTGGAGCCAGACCACAAGTACAAGATGAACCTGTACGGCTTCCACGGCGGCCAGCGCGTGGGCCCTGTCTCCACTGTCGGTTTAACTGGTGAGTGTACAATAGGACACTGGCCCTGCCCTGAGCTGGACTCAGTTTCCCTTTTATTGCCAGTACTCAGGTGTTTTTCTCCCACTGTTTTTGAGACTGAGCCTCCCAGGCTTCTGGGAGCAGTTCTGTGCCTGTCTGCACTCCAAGCCTTTGGTGTCACCTTAGCTGTCTCACCCTTTACACGTGGGCTTCCTGAGTCCTTGAAGAGGCAGGGTGCCAGAGAAATAGCACAGACTCAGGCAGACCTGGGGCTGGCCCTAGCCTCAGCCCATTAGAGCTGTGTGACCTCGAGGGAGTCACTCAACCTCTCTGTGCCTCCCTTTCCTTATCCATACAGAAGGAATAACCACACCTGTCTGGCAGCGTGGGCATGAATGTGGCTTGTCTCACACACAATGTTTGGTAACTACAGGCTCCCTCCTTCTGAGGAAGAAGATTAGTTCTTGAAAACCCTTGGGGTGAATTCTTATAATTATCATTGATTTCAGTGGGTACAATTGTATTTGTTCCCCAACCCAAACTGATACCCGTGTATGTGCTGTATCAACATGGAATCCTGCTGACATGGATACTATTGCTGCAATAGTTAATATTAGTCACATGTGCAACTTAACAAGGCATTTTCTCTTCATTAATTACTCCCTAACATGGCTGTTGGTTGCTTTTGTTAAGCTCTTTTGTAGCTGTTACCCGCTACATGCTTAAAACCTGGTTCCCAAACACAATGGAGTTATGAAACACGATGATTTTGTAATTCAGCTGTTAAGGCAGGATAAAACCCTATGCAGAACAGAAAAGACAAATAAAATCTGTGGGTGTGATGGGTCATCCCTGCCGTAAGATGGCAAGAGAATTAATACAAGGTCCAAAAGCAACCCATCTACAAAGATGATCTCATGTGGTCTCATCTCTTTGCCCTCAGCTGTGAAATCTAAATTAGTTTCTCAAATGCTCAGAAAAGACTTCTAAACCAGAGGAGGTACTAAAGGAAAATACGAACCTGAGCACACGTACCTTCTGATGTGACGTGTCGGTTAGGTGTGGTGCTATTACAAAGCATTAGTCCTGTCCCACTAAATGAATTTACTCAGCAGCTCCTACAGGTTCCATGCTGCACATGTTGAGGTCATGGGGGTCCCACCCTACCATCTTGACATCTCCACAAGTGTGTGCTCTGTCCCCTAGAAACTGAACATTCAAACCAGGGAAATGATGTCTTTTTTTTTTTTTTTAATAAATATATGTATTTATTTATTTATTTGGCTGCGTTGGGTCTTCGTTGCTGTGCGAGGGCTTTCTCTAGTGACGGCGAGCGGGGGCTACTCTTTGTTGTGGTACGCGGGCTTCCCATTGCGGTGGCTTCTCTTGTTGAGGAGCACGGGCTCTAGGCACGCAGGCTTCAGTAGTTGTGGCACGCAGGCTTAGTTGCTCCGTGGCATGTGGGATCTTCCCAGACCAGGGCTCGAACCCGTGTCCCCTGCATTGGCAGGTGGATTCTTAACCACTGCGCCACCAGGGAAGTCCTGGAAATGATGTCTTAATCCTGGAGCACTGGCTTCCAGGCTGCAGGGTCCCTGGTGTGTCTGGGAGAAATCCATCCCCTGTTAGGAGGGAACCCACAAAGCATGTCCACCCATTCTCTTTGTCTCTTGATCCAGCCTCAGAAAAAGACCAAGAAATGACCCCAGCCCCAACAGACCTGCCCACCACAGCCCCCGAGCCTCCCGTCAAGCCGCACCTGGGGGAGCTGGCAGTGACAGACGCCACCCCCGAATCCCTGAGCCTCTCCTGGACCATCCCCGAGGGCCAGTTTGACCACTTCCTGATCCAGTACAAGAACGGGGACGGACAGCCCAAGGCAGTGAGGGTGCCAGGGCACCAGGACGGGGTCACCATCTCGGGCCTGGAGCCAGGCCACAAGTACAAGATGAACCTGTACGGCTTCCACGACAGCCAGCGCGTGGGCCCCGTCTCTGTCATCGGGGTGACAAGTGAGTGGATGGTGGAAGCCCCAGGGTGGGACCTCGTGGGAGGATCACCCTCTCTCAGGTGATGGGTGAGTGGGGTGCAGGAGGCCCCTCTACTCGAGGCTGAGCCATGGTGCCCTGTGTGCCTCCTCCAGGCTCCCTGAGGACCAGTGTGTCCCCCCTGGGCAGGGAAAGGCCTCTGTGAGCCGTGCTGGTGGCTGCGCTGGTCCCCCACAGCTGACCCCGGAGGCTCCAGGCATGTTTATGAGATGTCAGCTGAGCAGAACCACCCAGCCCCAAGGACGGGCTTCTCTGAACTGACCTCAGGGCCCGGAGCCGGGGCCAAGGCTTGGTAGGAGACCCAAGGACATCACCGGGGACCCTGCCTCACCCTCTCTGCGTCTCTCCTTCTCAGCTGCAGAGGAAGACACCCCCGGCCCCACAGCACCCAGCACAGAGGCCTCGGAGGCCCCCGAGGAGCCCCTCCTGGGGGAGCTGACGGTGACAGGATCCTCCCCGGACTCGCTGAGCCTCTCCTGGACCGTCCCCCAGGGCCACTTCGACTCCTTCACCGTCCAGTACAAGGGCAGGGACGGGCCCCAGGTGGTGCGTGTCGGGGGCGAGGAGAGTGAGGTGACCGCTGGGGGCCTGGAGCCCGGGCGCAAGTACAAGATGCACCTGTACGGCCTGCACGGGGGGCGGCGTGTGGGCCCCGTGTCCACCGTGGGCGTGACCGGTGAGTGAGTGTGGGGCTCAGGCGGTCTCGGGGGAGAGCTACCTTTTCCTCATGGGTGAGCTGGTTGACTGTTCTGCTCTTTCACCAGCCTTTGGTCCCCTTTTATGTCCTCCCTCCATGACCCTGGGCCGTGACCCGTGTGTAGTGCCCTGGCCTTTGCCAACCTACAGCCTCATTGTTCACAGTAACGTGGGCTCCTCTGATGGTCAATCACTGGCTCCCTCCAAGGGTGAAATGTGTCAGGCACAGACCAAGCGTGACGTTACTAGAGTTTTCTTTTCTTTCCATAGTAATCACAAATCACAGCATTCTTTGTTATAACCAAAAAAAGGAAGAGAAAACAACCCAACATCGAACCACATTGAGATGATTAAGTAATTAGACAACATCTCTAAAATGACCTACTATGGCATCATTGAAATGTTTCAGCATACGACAATTACTTTATATTATTACAATAAAGAAAGAGTTTAAAACTTTTGTAAGGAGGCTAATCACAACTACTTGAAAATAACTTGCATGGTAAGACACCTGGAACGAAACGCCCGTGGGATGCATGGTTTGTGAGACAGGATAGAACGTCCCAGTATTTTTTTTTCTGTTTTATTCCATTATGTGTCGTTTACATTTTCTTAAATGACAAGCGTTTCTTTTATAATCAGGGAAAAAAAATTTTCAAAATGTCTTCTCCTCTCTTGTATTCCTTCTGCCTTTCCCCCTCATCATTCTTGCAACTTATTTCTGATTATGAAAAAGTTACAATTTCTAGTCTCTAAGAAATTAGGAGAAAAAAAATCACAAGGTGAATTAAATTCCAAAATTGCAGTCAGGCTGGCTTCTCTAAGTCACTGTCAGCCAGATTCTTATGCCTTGTGACAGTATTTCACCAGAGTTCCTCTGCATGTGGAAGAACACAGCCCCTCTGTGAGTCAGTCTTTTGCGGGGGGAGTCGCTGGCTCTGTGAGGTTCACTCTCCCCTCCTGAAGATACTCCAGACAGAGGAACCCTCTAGCATGCAAATCACAAGCACATGCGAAGCACAGAGGGACCCATGTCCCCATCCACATCCTCCACCGGCTTTTACTAATTTTTATAACTCAGGATTTCTTTTTAAGTCTGTATTTTTCTGTGAAAAGAATATAGCAACATGATGGAAAGTTTGGAAAGTAGGGGAAAAAATCTCTTGTCGGACCACCTCCTGACCCAAGAACCACCATTCACGACAATGTACGTAACACATCCTGTCTTTCTGCATTTTCCGTGCAGCGCGTGTTTTAAGGTGGCAGAATATTCATATAATTCTTGGCTCTTACTTTTTTTGTACGCAAGTTACACTGAGAGCATGTATCCTGTGGCTACACAACCTGCATTAATCATCATTTTAATGGTCATTGGCTGCTTCGTGGCGAAAGTGCCGTAACAAAATTATCTTCTTCTGTGGTTCCTTTGGAGCCCTGACACATTTTGCTGTCATGAATAATCCCAAAATGAACTCGTGTGATACAACTTTTCCTGCTTTTTAATAATTTTCTTAGGATAGCTGCCCAGAAATGAGATTATTGGGTCCAAGGAAATGAGCAGTATTTGGGCTCCTGACATGTATGTTCGAATTGCCTTCTGAAGGTTCATGGTGCCTGCCAGCCAGCATGTGATGGGGTCAAGCCCATCTCAGTCTCTCTAGCATGGGGTCACCAAATGGCGCACCCAGAGGCTGAGCCAGCCTCCAGTCCTGCAGCCTGAGGAGTATATCCTGCTGGATGCAAGCAGGGCAAGCCACCATCTAAGTCTCTGCCCCCAATCTCTCTTCTCAGCCCTCCAGGAGGTTGTGGAGGAGACCCCCAGCCCCACAGCACCCAGCACAGAGGCCCCGGAGCCCCCCAGAGAGCCTCTCCTGGGGGAACTGACGGTGACAGGATCCTCCCCGGACTCGCTGAGCCTCTCCTGGACTGTCCCTCAGGGCCACTTCGACTCCTTCACCGTCCAGTACAAGGATAAGGATGCGCGGCCCCAGGTGGTGCGTGTCGGGGGCGAAGAGAGTGAGGTGACCATTGGGGGCCTGGAGCCCGGGCGCAAGTACAAGATGCACCTGTATGGCCTGCACGGGGGGCGGCGTGTGGGCCCCGTGTCCACCGTGGGCATGACCGGTGAGTGAATTTGGGGGAGCGGGATGCAGGGTGGGGAAGCCAGGTCCTGGAAGAGTTTCCCTTTATTGCCATCTTTGTGAAAACATAAATATTCTAGACAGCACTTCTTCTTTAGGACATCAGGTGGCCTGGGGATCTTGTTAAAGGGCAGATTCAGATTCAGATTTGGGCTAGGGCCAGAGATTCTGCATTTCTAAAATCTTCCATGAGGGACTTCCTTGGTGGTCCGGTGGTTAAGAATCTGCCTTCCAATGCAAGGGACGCAGGTTCAATCCCTGGTCGGGGAACTAAGATCCCACATGCTGCAGGGCAACTAAGCCCACGCGCTGCAACTACCGAGCACACGAGCCACAACTAGAGAGCTCGCGTGCCACAACTACTGAGGCCGCGCACCACAACTAGAGAGAGAAGCCCGTGTGCCACAATGAAAGATGCCACATGCCGCAACAAGATCCCACGTGCCAGAGCTAAGACCCGATGCAGCCAAAAAAAAAAGCAAATAGGGGCTTCCCTGGTGGCGCAGTGGTTGAGAGTCCGCCTGCCGATGCAGGGGACATGGGTTCGTGCCCCAGTCCGGGAAGATCCCACATGCCGCGGAGCGGCTGGGCCCGTGAGCCATGGCCGCTGGGCCTGCGCGTCCGGAGCCTGTGCTCCGCAACGGGAGGCCACAACAGTGAGAGGCCCGCGTACCGCAAAAAAAAAGCAAATAAAATCCTCCATGATGCTGATGCTGCTGGTCCAAGGACCACACTTTGCTAAAACTCCTCACAACAAAGGAATTGGACACTTTCTTAGAATCTATTGAACAGAATCATACTTGCATCCCTGAGTCCTCTCAGAGGCTCAGCCTCTGTGTAGTTGACTGGAGGCTGTGGAGGAAGACAGAGCATGCTCAGAATGCAGTGTCTTGACTGAAACGCCCCCTAGCCTCATCGTTTGGGTATTAACAGACTTAGGACGCCTATGGTTCAACAAAGATGTGGAAGGCCTGAGCCAAGTACTGAGGAAGCTCACTGAGAGAAACCTTGGATACGGCAGAGAAACCAGTTCTTATCCTTTGGGGCTCACAGACAGGCTGTGAGCCAGCAAATGGAGCAAAGAGGGATGTGTATCTGACAGGAAGCCCCGCGGCCAGACCAAGACTGGGCAGCGATGCCTACGCCCACCTGCCTGCCCATGGGTTCCACAGCCGAGACCTGAGGTCGGGCAGGCGTTGCTTGGTGACACCTAGAGATAAGATGAAGGGTGCATCAGATCAACATCACAGCTGGTACAAAGCCTGGAAACTAGGAAGATCACGGCACATGAGAGGATTTTGTGTGAAATCCTCTGAGTGGGGGAGATAGTCTAGGAAGAGATGGGGGTGGGGAGCTCAGGAAGCCAGGGATTTCTCCAGGGGATAAAGAGGGTTGCTGCACAGTTTTAAGCTGAGACTGACACCATCAGATGTGCATCTAAAGGCTCATTCTGGCTTCCTGTGAAGAACAGATGGAGGAGGGAGGCAGAGAGACCCATGGGGAGGTGATAACCCAGGTGACAGGTAAGGGCAGCCCAGACAGGGACGGTGGGGCTGCAGGTGTGGGCAGTGAGGAGACACAGGAGGAACTCGGGAGAGAGAATTGGACGCTCTGAGTCTGATGGCAGCTGGGGACAGGAACAGATCCAGGAAGACTCCAGGTTTCTGACTGGAGAAGTGGGGCAGGGGTTCTGAGCTGATTGGGAGGCAAGACCTTAGCCAGAGGGAGTAAGATGCCAATGAGACCCCAGTGGAGGGGGGCCCAGAGCACAGTGGCCATGTGAGCCTGTGTCCTAGGAGGGGTGCTGGTAGGTAGGGGGTGAGGGCAGGGCGGATGAGGGTAAGGTGACAGGAAGGCCGACATTATAGAGACCAGAAAGAATAAGAGTTAGAGCTACTGTGGACACATCCTGTTCCTTATTATTTTAATTTTGTAATACACCACTTTATATGCTGAACTGAGGACTGAGGAGACCTCACCTGTCCTGTATGTCTCTGTCCAGATCCAGACTACAAAGCCATGACCACCCAAGCCCCGTCCACTGCGGCGCCCGAGCCGCCCGTCAAGCCACACCTCGGGGAGCTGGCAGTGAAAGACGCCACCCCCGAATCCCTGAGCCTCTCCTGGACCATCCCCGAGGGCCAGTTTGACCACTTCCTGATCCAGTACAAGAACGGGGACGGACAGCCCAAGGCAGTGAGGGTGCCAGGACACCAGGACGGGGTCACCATCTCGGGCCTGGAGCCAGACCACAAGTACAAGATGAACCTGTACGGTTTCCACGGCAGCCAGCGCGTGGGCCCCGTCTCTGTCATCGGGGTGACAAGTGAGTGGATGGTGGAAGCCCCAGGGTGGGACCTCGTGGGAGGATCACCCTCTCTCAGGTGATGGGTGAGTGGGGTGCAGGAGGCCCGTCTACTCGAGGCTGAGCCATGGTGCCCTGTGTGCCTCCTCCAGGCTCCCTGAGGACCATTGTGTCCCCCTGGGCAGGGAAGGGCCTCTGTGAGCCGTGCTGGTGGCTGCACTGGTCCCCCACAGCTGACCCCGGAGGCTCCAGCCATGTTTATGAGATGTCAGCTGAGCAGAACCACCCAGCCCCAAGGACGGGCTTCTCTGAACTGACCTCAGGGCCCGGAGCCGGGGCCAAGGCTTGGTAGGAGACCCAAGGACATCACCGGGGACCCTGCCTCACCCTCTCTGCGTCTCTCCTTCTCAGCTGCAGAGGAAGACACCCCCGGCCCCACAGCACCCAGCACAGAGGCCTCGGAGGCCCCCGAGGAGCCCCTCCTGGGGGAGCTGACGGTGACAGGATCCTCCCCGGACTCGCTGAGCCTCTCCTGGACCGTCCCCCAGGGCCACTTCGACTCCTTCACCATCCAGTACAAGGGCAGGGACGGGCCCCAGGTGGTGCGTGTCGGGGGCGAGGAGAGTGAGGTGACCGCTGGGGGCCTGGAGCCCGGGCGCAAGTACAAGATGCACCTGTACGGCCTGCACGGGGGGCGGCGTGTGGGCCCCGTGTCCACCGTGGGCGTGACCGGTGAGTGAGGGGGCAGGCCCTGACTCCCAGGTTTCCCTCTGTTGCTCTCGTTTCCCCCTTTGGATCTCAGCACTCCTCACAAATGGGCCTCTGGGTCCCTTTCTTTTCTCACGTGGTGCTGACTATCCCGCCTCATCCTTGAATTGAGTGACGGCTGATGGACAGTGTGTTCAGGGTCAGCTGGGCAAGTAGCCTGTGCCTCATACGTTTCAGCTTTCTTCCTGTCTTCTTGATCTGGCAGCTCAAACTTGCTCAGTTGTTCATGTGTGGCTTCCTCAGTCTCCCTAACCAAGCATTTTAGTGGCTCGGAGTGTGGCTACAGAATCAGATTCTCTAGGTTTAAATCCTGCTCTAAGGCACTGTGTGATTTTCAAAATTTTCTTAACCTCTCTGTGCCGCAGATGCCTGTCAAATGAGGGTGATAAGGATAAAAGCACCTACTTCATCTGTTGTGTGAGGATTAAGTGTACTGTTTGTGAACTGCTTACAGCAATGCCTGGGACATGTTAAGCAGTTAGAAGAGTTTGCTACAAATGTTCATTTCATAGGCAGGGGACAGCCCTCCCTCTCTGGCCCAGGGTCCTGCCATTGACCACAGCCTCGTCTGCTCTGTTCCAGCCTCCCTGAATACAGAGCCCCCCGTGGCACCCCGCCTGGGGGAGCTGGCTGTGGCAGCCGTGACCTCAGACACAGTGCACCTCTCCTGGACAGTGGACCAGGGCCCCTTCGACTCCTTCCTGGTCCGATACAAGGATGTGCAGGGGCAGCCCCAGGCAGTGCCCGTGGGTGGACACCTCCGAGAGGTCTCGGTTTTGGGTCTGGCCCCGGGCCACAAGTACAAGTTCCTACTCTTCGGACTCCAGGATGAGAAACAACACGGTCCAGTCTCTGCAGACGCAAAGACCCGTGAGTGAGGGCTGGAGGCCGCCTTTAACCCTGGAGCCCCCTGACCATCCTCCACTCCCTTGTGGAATTTCACGTTTCTGTGCTCCACACTCCAGACCCATTTATTTACTGGGTCCAGTGAAATCCAGGTCCTGAGTACCCCCGTTACCCCCTCATTCCCATCCTACTCCTCCTACATCCCGAGGGACACTTGCTTTCTTGCCTGGCTCCTCTTTTATCCCTACTCCTCTGCCTTCCCTCTTCCTGACATGTGACCTGGTCACCCCCTCCCAGCACTCAGGACCAGCGCCCAGAGCCCTAGCGCCCCAAGGAGGCTCTGTCGGCTTCATTTCTGTCACATTCCATGCACCTCTCTCTTTTCCAGTCCCAGACACTAAACCTTCTCTCCGCCTGGGGGAGCTGACAGTGACGGACGGGACCCCAGACTCCGTGGGCCTCTCCTGGACGGTCCCCGAGGGCGAATTTGACTCCTTCGTGGTCCAGTACAAAGACAGGGACGGGCAGCCCCACGTGGTGCCTGTGGCCTCAGACCAGCGCGAGATCACCATCCCCGGCCTGGAGCCCAATAGCAAATACAAGTTTCTGCTCTATGGGCTGCTGGCAGGCAGGAAACGACTGGGCCCCATCTCTGCTGAAGGCAGCACGGGTGAGCCCGGGCCCTGCCTCCACCCCACTCCCTGCCCCCCGGCCCCCTGGCCTTTTTCCAGAGCTTCCTTTCATCTGAGCCCCCAGGGTTGGCCCCGGGGCCTTCCCGCAAAGTTTATTCTCCTCTCTTCAGCCTGGGCATGACAATCCTGACACCAAAAGCAAATATTTATTGAGTCCCTGCTGAATGCCAGGCACTGTTCCAAGCGTTTATTTCCTTCGTTCACTGATTGGCAGTACACTAGAAAGAACTCAGACTTTGGAGCCAAGCAGGCCTGTGTTCAAATTCCGTTGCCAGCTGTGTGGCCACTTCTTTTCCTTGAACCTCAGTTTCCACACCTGCACGACGGTTATGACTAACATCTGTTGGGGTTCAATAAACGTTCACGTCCTTTTCCCCTCATTCCAGCCCTATGGCAAGAAGTGGAAAATACGGGAGGGTTTGGCTGCAAAAACACTATGGAAAAATCTGGAGTCTTGTGCCCAATACTCAGCCCCCGAGGACGGGATGGAGGTGGGTCACTGACCCTTACCCCGCCTCCAGGACCATGAGTCACCCTGGCCAGACAAGGATGGGGCGCATGGCCAGTTGGGGCCTGGGGCTCTCAGACTCCGTAATTCTCTTCCCCAGACCTTCATTGTGGAGACTGGATACAGGCTTCTCCAACCCCCATCAGTCAGTACCCATACCCACCTAAGACAAGTGTCTTTTGTGCTCTGCTCTGCCCTTTGTCCACTCAGCTCTGCCCCTGGCTTCTCCCCCTGCCTGACCCAGCCGGCCTGGTCTAGTGCTGTGAGTGCAGGGCTGGGGAAGCAGGTGGAAAGGCGGGCCCAGGCTGTTGGCGAGTGAGGGCGAGTTTATGGCTGGGCAATGGGAGCCCGTGAGCTTGGCTGGCTGTCCCGCCCAGCTCTGACTATTTGGGGGCATGTCCCTGACAACCCAGACACCCTCTGGGAGCCTTTCTCAGCTCTGGCCACACTCCTGCTCTGGGGGACTGGGGGTCAGAGGGAAACTGAGGCCCTTCCTGCAATCCCAGCCGCAACTCTCTCATGCGGTGCTCTTTTATGCATTTACTGCACCCTGATCTCAGAGTGGGGGAGTGGGGGCAGGAAGGAGTTTGGGCAGCAGCCTCCAGAGGAGGAAACTGGGCTCCTTCGTACAAGGCAGGGCTGGAGCAATGTGCCTGTCTACCCAGGTGGCTGACCCTCCCTCCCCCAGAAGCTGCCAGGGCTGAGGTAAGGGCAGCTCTTAACTGGATTTTCTCCCCCCGCCCCAGCACTCCCTGCGGCTGCCCTGAAGAAGGGGCAGCAGCGCCCACCCCGCCTGGGGCAGCTGACAGCCACAGGCGAGACCCCGGAGTCGCTGCGCCTCTCGTGGACAGTGGCCCAGGGCCCCTTTGACTCCTTCGTGGTCCAGTACAGGGACACAGATGGGCAGCCCTCGGTGGTGCCTGTGGCCGCAGACCAGAGGGAGGTCACCATAGAGGGCCTGGAGCCTGGCAGGAAATACAAGTTTCTGCTCTATGGGCTCCTCAGAGGACAGCACCTGGGCCCCGTCTCTGTCCTGGGAATGACAGGTGAGCAGGAGGCTGTCCTGCTTGGTCCTAGCCAGCCGGCCTGAGTGGGTGTCCTCACACCTCTGTGCTGAAGGCCTGGCACGAGTGGGGGAGGTAGAGCGGTAGGGGGGCCCTGCACGGGGCTCGGGGGGGAAGAGCCTCGGAACCAGCGTGATCGAGGGGTCGGTCCGAAGCAGGAGCCAGGACAGGTGGTAAGGCAAAGCCCTGGCAGCGGTCCCTAATCTGCGACCCCCGCCCAGCCCCAGGGCCGCCAGCTGCTCCCCATTACTCTACTGGGGCGGCTCTTACCTCCTGGCACGCTGGCCTTGCCCAGATGAGGGCAAACCCCCTCCTGTGGATGAGTCAGGAGCATTTTCTCAAATGGAAAATTACTGGAAAACAGAGCAGGCCAGGGGCATAGAAACCAACAGGAGTGGCTGCACTGATGGAGTTCCCCTTCCAGATTTCCTAACACCCACCTCAAATCAGCCTGGCGTTGGCGGGGCCGACCTGGCTGGCAGGATGCGCCCTTCAAGTTCACCAGCCAGTTCCATCCTCAGCTCTTCGCAGCAGGGAGGACCACGTGCCCTGAGCTCAGGGAGGGACTGAGTTAGTCCTGCCTCAAGCCATGGCACCAGGCGCCCTGGCAGGTTGGGGAGGGAACAGGGCCCGTGCAGACATCTAGAGTGGGGCGTGCTGAGACATCGGGGTGAAGGAGGAGGAAGCAAGCACTGGATTCAGACAGCAAAGGAGCCCCACAGAGAGGCCATGGGGCCACTGGGCTGGCACTCAAGAGAGACCGAGGGGTGGCAGGAGTCAGTGCCCAAGCAGGGATGTGGCAGATTCAAGAGAAGGAAGATGCTAGGAGAGCCTCAGTCCCTGTCTTCTCTCCACACTGCAGTGGCCGGGACCGTGAGGTCCCCTGCCTCGGCCAGCCCCGATCCCCTCTCTGGAGGGTGAGATGGAGTGGGAGGGCCCCGCTCAGCTTCTCTCTGGGCTTCTCCCACGCAGCCCCAGAAGAGGACATGCCAGCACCCTCGCACATGGCCACGGAGGCCCCCGAGCCCTCTGAAGGGCCCCGCCTAGGGGCGCTGGCAGTGAAGGACGTGTCCCCGGACTCCCTGCGCCTCTCATGGAGCGTGGCCCAGGGCCCCTTTGACTCCTTCGTGGTCCAGTATCAGAGCACAGGTGGGGAACCCCAGGCCTTGCTCGTGGGTGGCGACCAGAACAAGGTCCTCGTGTCAGACCTGGAGCCCAGCACCTCCTACAAGTTCCTCCTCTATGGCTTGCGTGAAGGGAAGCGCCTGGGGCCCGTCTCAGCCGAGGGCACCACAGGTACCGTCAGGGTAGGGCCCGGCCTTGCCTGCCTCTGGTTTGGGGCTGAAGAGGCGAAAGGGGGCACCCAGAAGCGGTGACCATGGGGAAGGAACACCGCGAGGGCGCCACGGAGGGAGGAAGGGGCGCGTGCACAGCCTTCGGCTCTACACCTACATGCTGTCATTATGTCAGACCCGTGGGTGCCAGCCCCTCATTAGCTCCATTTTGCAGATGAGGAAATGAGGGCCAGGGTGGGGTGGGGGAAGGGATCTAGCCCCAGGTCGCCTAGCTGGTGTGCTTCAGTCTCCAAAGCCTTCTTTCCCACCCACTCTGCAGGGCCAGCTCCTGCTGGGCAGACCCCCGGAGAGCCAGGGCCCCGCCTGTCCCACCTGTCGGTGACTGATGTCACCACCAATTCGCTGCGGCTCAGCTGGGAGGCCCCACCCGAGGCCTTTGACTCCTTCCTGCTCCGATTTGGGGTCCCGTCACTGAGCACCCTGGAGCTGCATCCACGTTCCTCGCTGCAGCGGGAGCTGATGATGCCAGGGACACGGCGCTCGGCCGTGCTCTGGGACCTGAGTCCAGGGACCCTGTACACCCTTACGTTGTATGGGCTGCGCGGGCCTCACAAGGCCGACGGCATCCAGGGCACAGCCCGGACCCTCAGCCCAGGTAAGGCCCCATGCTGGGCACATACACATGCTGCCCCAAAGTAGGGGGGTCTCTGTACTCCCTAGGGTGGCACCTCAGCCAGAGGGGAAGCTGGTGAGTGGTGACGAGCTTGGAGTCTGCGGAGCGGCTTCCATCTCTAGGCCTAGAGGAAAGGCGGGGTGGTGAGCACATCCGGAGGCCGTGGGGCCCAGGGAGAAGGAGGAGGGTGGGAAGCCCGGGGCAGGAGCCTCCCTGCCCTCTGCCCTCACCATGATTCCTTGGCATATCTGTCCCGTCAGCTCTGGAGCGCCCCCGTGACCTCCAGTTCAGCGAGATCGGGGAGACGTCAGCCAAGGTCAGCTGGATGCCCCCGCCGTCCAGAGTGGACAGCTTCAAAGTTTCCTACCAGCTGGCAGATGGAGGTGATACCCTCTTGCCCGTGTGTCACTTGCCCCATTCCTCCTGCGCCCTGTGCTCTGCCCACCCTGCAGCTCCTTCTTGCTTCCCTGGCCGCCTCCCCAGCCCAATGTGTTTTCAGGGGAGCCACAGAGTGTTCAGGTGGATGGCCGAGCCCGGACCCAGAAACTCGAGGGGCTCGTCCCAGGCACTCACTACGACGTGACCGTGGTCTCCGTCCGTGGCTTTGAGGAGAGTGAGCCTCTCACAGGCTTCCTTACCACAGGTGAGACAGTCCGGGGACCCGGGCAGGAAGCAGCGGGAGGAGACGCGGGCACGGGTGGGAGTTGAGAGCGAACGGGGAAATGGAGAGGGGGTGTTGGAGGCGCCAATGGCAGACGAGAGGTCCAGCAGAGTTTGGGAAGGCGAGGAGTGGGGAGAGCAGCAGGGAACAGCTCTGGGCCCCCTCCCTTCTCCCAGTTCCTGACGGCCCCACCCAGCTGCGTGCACTGAACTTGACGGAAGGATCCGCCCTGCTGCTTTGGCAGCCCCCCCAGGCCCCGGTGGATACCTATGACATCAAGGTCACAGCCCCAGGAGGTGAGCAGGGCTGAGGCCTCTGGAGGGGACTGGTCAGGGTGGGAGAGCAGAGGGCAGGCTGGGCTCCGGCAGGGCAGCCGCTGATGCCCCACCCGCTCTCCCAGCCCCCTCGCTGCAGGACTCAGCCCCTGGCAGCGCCGTGGACTACCCCCTGCAAGGCCTTGTGCTCCACACCAACTACACGGCGACCCTGCATGGCCTTCGGGGCCCCAACCTCACCTCCCCGGCCAGCATCACCTTCACCACAGGTACGGTCTGTGAGGTGCACTGGGGGGCGGGTAAGGAGCGAGAGAGCCAGGATGGGCCTCATCTCCATCTTCTCTTCCTCCCCCTCCCAGGGTTGGAGGCCCCCCAGGACTTGGAGGCCAAGGAGGTGACCCCCCGCACAGCCCTGCTCACTTGGACCGCGCCCCAAGTCCCCCCAACTGGCTACCTGCTCAGCTTCAACACCCTTGGTGGACAGACCCAGGTGCCCTCACCCCTGCCACTCCGGCCAGCTCCCTCCCTGGGCTCCAGTCCGGGAAGTGCTGCCTCTGCCTCCCGGGCGGGGCCCACCTCTCTCTCCCCTGACCTGCCCCTTGTCTGTTCCACAGGAGATCCTGCTCCCAGGAGGGGTCACCTCTCACCAGCTTCACGGCCTCTTTCC